ATATACATATACATATACATATAGGCATACGTGCATGCATCCATACATACATACATACATACATACATACATACGCACATACATGTTTATGTACAAGTAACGAGTACACAAACACGTGACTAGCTGTATTCAACGCCTTTATCAGGTTCTGGTCAGTCATGCGCATGTTCATGCTTGTTTTTGGGAATAGTCTATGTGTGCACGTGTGCGGGTGCATACTGTCGAATTATCCTGTATCGTTCGATTCTGGCTATCGTTTTTTTCGCACTCTCTCTCTATTGTATACCGAATTTACATCTGCATCCCTGCAACTTTGTCTATACCTGCAATTATGTGTATGTAGATGTGCATATGTATGTATATATATATATGCACAGATTTGCCTCTAAAAAACAGACGCTTGAATAAATCCACTGGAGGCCGAGCGGCCTCCTCTCTCCTGGCACCTTCTCCTGCCGGATGCTCAAATCGCAGCGGGAGTGGGAGCGTGGGGTGTGGGGTGTAGGGTTTTGCGGTTTCGGGTTAACGGTTTCGGAGAAGGGTTCTAGGGAAGCATGGTTTCCGGATCTGAAGGTTGCAGAGACAAAGCCGAGCTGCCGCAAAACCCCCAGAACCCCTCAAACCTGGAGCCTCCAAAGGGCTCCTTCTCAAAGGCCATATGCCCTGCTCCATCCTTAAAAACCCCCTAACTAAACCCCTATAAACACCTGAACCCCTATAAACCCCTGAAATCCCTAAGCCCTAAACCCCCTATAGTAGCCCGTCTAGATCCTTTAGAGGACCCCCTTAAAGGACTCATTGAAAGAAGCCTTTCAGGTCCGAAAACTAAAGTCTCACTGCTCCAAGGCTACGAGCTTCGTACAATGACAGCTCCCTCAAGGCAAGGACACAAGGAAGAGGGTCGGGCTTGTGGGTTTTAGGAGATTTGAGGAGTATAGGGTGTAGGATTGTAGGGTTGTAGGGTTTAGGAGACTTTAGGAGTGTAGCGTTGTGGGTTGAAGGGTTTAGGAGGTTTTAGGAGCATAGGGTATAGGGTTATAGGGTTGTAGGGTTTAGGAGACTTTGGGAGTATAGGGTATAGGGGTTTAGGTGATTTTATTTGGGTTGTAGGGTTTAGGAGTTGCTGCGAGTACAGGCTGTAGGGTTTGGGAGATGTTCGGGAGTAGGGTTCTAGGGCTTAGGAGAGTTTGGGAGTATCCGGTATAGGGTTTAGGTTGTTTTGTATACAGGGTTTAGGGGGGTTTTAGGAGCATAGGGCCATAGGGTTGTGGGGCTTAGGGCCTATACAGGGTTTTCAGGGTTTGGGTGTTTTGTGTTTAGAGAGCTGGGATTTAGGGCGTATGATCGCGGCGTATGGGTTCAGGGTCTCGGGTTGAAAGTGTTCACAGTTCACACGATAGGGTTAGAGGCACGGGGGTTGAGGAGGGGGGGAAAGGGTTAGGTCTGTATCTCTTTATCGCGTCATGTACCACGACAATGGCGATGAAGTACATGGGCACAATAGCAGGCACCATTATGAACCATGATAGCGATAAGGCCTAACAGTCTAACGTGCGGAAGAAAGCAAGCAGAATCGCAGTTTCCAACAATTCGTCCTGGGTTCAAGTCCTTCCCATGCTTTGTTTCCGTGATTCTGAAACGGATTGTGTTGAAATAGGATTCGAAGCCGTTCGGATCCAGGGCGTGAGGAATTAATTGCGTACTGCTGAGACACGATTGTGATTCAGGTTTCTCGCTTCGGCTTCATGGAGTGAGATGTCTTGATGCGGCCATTGGTTCAAAGAACCCTACCCCACAAAGCTCCCGACTCAATCTCTACCCTAAACCCGAAGCCCCAAACTCTGAATCTTAAAGGGCCCTGAACCCCACACCTCTCCATCCAGCGGTGTTTCCGAAGGCAACAACAGTTGCAGACTGGCCGGCAGAGGCCCTTGACGGTAGCAACAGCTTTCGTGTGCTGCCTTCAAGGATCAGTCGCAGAAAGAGAGCCTGCAACACAAGAGAGGATGGTTAGAGCACGGTAGAATGTTTCATTGGGTGCCAAACGAACTATACAATGTGCCATCATGACAGCACAGCAGTACGATCAGCAAAGGCATGAAGACAGAGCAATGTAGTGTTCGATGCTGACTACGCAGGTGTGCACCGTTAGTGCACATTGTGCGATGACGGAATGGTACGGTGACAGTGCCTACATAGTACTGTAGCAATAGGGTGAACAGGTACACGGTGGTCTAGCAGTCGACTATCTGGCAATCTGCTAGTTTCCTCATGGCATGCATCAACAACCTCATGAGCCACGGGCGCAGAACGCCGTTATCGCAGCCCCGCACGGCCCAATAGTGTAAGTAGCTTCCTATAAGGCTTAATACATCATGCTGGTCGTGGTAATGCACTTGGTAGCATCACGAGTACATCCCCATCCCCGAATTCCCCCAATGTATTCCTTGGGGTTCGCTGGTAGAACTAGAGTTGACTATACACCCAAACCACAGACCAATTATCAAGGCCTCTACATTACCAGGCTTACATCCACAATCTGTGGACTCCCAAGCGATTGATGGTTTTTGAAGCCTCGGGCCCCCGCGGTGGACAAACAAGTAGCACGAGACATGTTCTCTAGACTGGACTGGTTTAGGGTTTTGGGTTTAGGGTTTTGGGTTTTGGTAGTGGTTGTCCTTCTCACTCTGCGGTAGACCCATGTGTTTACACTGCACCTACCTTCGTCTAGAGGCAATGCCATCTTCAGCTTCAACGCTCAAAGATTCAATGCTGTGGGTAGGCGAGCAGATCTCAGCCGTAATTATAAGAATTGTAAGATCTTCTGTGCATCCAGATCGGAACCACGGCCCGATGCTATGCGAAGCCAGGTGTTGGACCTGCCGAGCGAGATCGCTACAAAGCATGCGCAGGCTAGAGCCTTTTCTTGCTTGGTGCTGTGTTGTGAGCCTAGCGAGCCTTAAACCCTGCGCCCTAAACCCTATAAGCCCTAGAAGCCCTATAAACCCTATAAGCACTATGAACCCTATAAGCCCCATAAGCCCTAAACCCTAAGCTAGACCGTAAAGCCTAAAGTGTAAGTCGAGTCGCCGAGGCCGCTATGACGCGCCCGGCCGTACACCTCGCGACCTTCCCAGCTTGGAGTGAAGTGACTGAGAAGGCTGACTCTGCGTGCTTCGGTTTTGAACTTCATCCTTTAATTTAGCATGTGGGGTTGATGGGGTGTCGGGCCTCTGGCTGCAGGGGGCGCAGAGCTTAAGGCTTGAGGCCCAACGAACGGTGCATTAGGCAACTACTCCTAGGCTATGTGCAGCAACAGAGGATTTGCGACAGCAATACTATGAACCACGAAGCCAGAATCTCGAGCGCTGAAGTCTGAACTCTGACCTCTGTCAGTTGGATGTTCATGACGGCATGTCGGCAGGCCGACAGTCTGCGCGCTCTTGGCCTTGCAGTTCAGGCAGGATGCCGTCTAGCAGTTTGTTTTCGTTGGGCTTTGGAATTTTGGCACTTTTACTCCCCACTTGACCAGGTTTTTGTCCACATCACCGGAGATGTGCACCCAACCAACCCCGATGCGACCCGGGAACCCTGAACATTTACGTTGACACCATGCCTTAAAGTCTAGGTAAGGGCTGGACAAGGTATGGTGCTGTTTCCATGGTTTCGGGTCCAAAAGATCGGAGGACGTAGTGATTTAATGATACTGAAGGCCCAGAAACGATGTTCCTCTTTTCCTGAAATTAACAGTACGAAAACAACTCAACGGCCCTTTTTCCTTGGCCCTAGCTACTCTAGCTCTAATGGACAAGGCCTCGGCTGGCATCACTTCAGGGTTTCAGCGTTTGAGGCGCCAGGGTTTAGGGGGATGTTAGGCTCCCGAACTTTAGTCATCATCAACCCTAAACCCTAAACCCTGAACCCTCAGAAGAAATTGGGCATCGCAGCTCAGAGCCACCATAGCAATCCTCCAAAAAGGGATCCAAGCTCGGCAGCAGGAGATCCTCTCCCCCCCTTCCTGTCTGGGAGGTGGGATCAGCCGGCATACACCGAGCCATCGTCGATCTCTTAAACGGGGGGCCTGGGCATTATATATATATATATATATGTGTATATATATATATATGAATTATATATATATATACTGCAGAGCCAAGTTGTTGAAGGTTTTGACATCATTGTGGAAATGATTACAGGCATGGGCATAAAAGAAGCTCTCAACATAATCTTACTACTTGTTACACTACTGGATACACGTAGCATAACTAATAGCAAGCAGCACGACGACGAAGAAGACACCGACAACTGCCAGTACTGCAGCTGCTACTGCCACTGCGACTACGGCGACAACGACAACTGTTACTACTACTGCTGCCACTGCTGCTACCAGCACAACAACACCACCACCAACAACAACAACAACAACAACAATTACTACTGCTGCTGCTGCTGCTGCTACTACTACTACTACTACTGCTACTACTACTCCGGCTGCTACTGCTGGTGCTAGCAATGACGGTGTGAATGCCAAGGTCGCGATCAGCAACCGGAGCAACAGCAGCATCAGTACTGTAGCAACCAGAGCGACTGTCACTGTTATGTGAGTGATATTACTGACAATATCAGCCTTGACTATGGCACTGACCTTGGCCGTAATGCGCCTTACACACCTGGACTGCGCACCTAGCCAAGCTGGCTTTGCACATAAGGGGATCTATAGGTTTGGGGAACCAGGATGTTTAGGGTCGAGGACGCACTAATCACTAATCCTGCATATTTGCTGCTCTTCGCCTGCCATTTGGCTGTATCCCGGCGGTAGATGGGTTGAATGTCTTGTAGTTTTTTGATGCGAGAATGAGCTCAGTGTGCCAGCCTTGTCAGCAATGGGAGGGCGTCATGGCATCCATTTGTAATGCTGATGTCGCCCGCTTCGAAGAGAAGGAGATGATTTCCGAAGTCTTATCCCCAGAGTACAATGAACAGCCGCCCGGGGGCTTTGCGAATGCATGCGCCCGGGCTAGCAGCAGTCAGGTTTACGAGATGCAGATGCAGCCTGTCCTACCCCCTTCGGAGTCCCAGAGCCGGGATATGCCGAAAGCTCCTGCTAGGCCAAGCGATGAAAAAGTGCAGGAGTTCGTCAGACAGTTTCAGCAAGTGGAATCCAGACAAGCTTCCTCAAAGGAGGCTCTGGAACAGATCTCCACCTTGGTGGAGGTCACTGTCGACATGTTTGGCACTCTAAATGGCGCTCTGAATCAAATGAAGACAGACATCGGACATTTACATGCCAATCTATCTTCGTTGGAGACAAAGGTGAGTCAGACATCTGTTCCAAGCACCTTGCCACTTCCGGCGTCTCAGGTTGCAGAGAAGTCGGCAGGTGATGATGTTGTGGAGACCTCGGGCAAGGAAGTCAGTCTAGAAGCTTGCTTCGGGGATGAACCCGTGCAATCTTTGCAGCTGTCTTTCACCAGTGAGCCTACCTTTGCTTCGACAACACCCGATAGTGATCGGCAATCAGAGTTGACATCCCTGGATGTATCCAAGATCAGTGGCAAAAGTTCAACAGAGGGGCCCGCTCACCCGCATCCCAACGAAGCGCTGGTGTCTTTGATCAATGTTGCCTTGAAGCACCCTGATCTCTCGGGCGCCCCTTTGCTTCGCCAGTGGCAGTTCCAGCAGCAGAGGGTACCGGCGCTTCCAAGAGTTTCAACTTGCTTCGGGTCTTTTAGATACAATATCATACATGATAAAACAATATAGTATAGCATAATATAAAATAAGACAACATAAAGTAATATAGTATAACATAATATAATATAATATAACATAATATAATATTATATAATAATGGTTTCAAGCATGGGCTCCTCAGGCAGTCCTCAGGGCCTTCGCCAGCATGTCCCATTGCGGCCAGGTGAAATCTCAGCGAGAGCTGAACGTGGACCTTGTTGCCAAGAAGTCCGTGCTTGCCGTACAGAATCAGCAATTTGCTGCACTGGTCCGCGTGGCCATGCATCATGGGTCGCTGGAGGGCCGTGACCTACTGCACCAGTTTGAGTCAGAGCTCCACTTCGAGGTGCGAGTTTGTCTTCGAGTTGGGTTGTGTAAAAGGGACTCTTTGGGAGTGTGGTCACGTCGTTACATCCTAGTTGTGCTTTGACTGCTGGTTCCACTGAACCTAGTTTGATGGCTGTACTTCCAAATTGCCCTAAACCCTAGCCTGAAGGAGGGCCATGAAATAGGTCATGGCCCTCCTCGCTACCGCACACATCTCCTTGGCCTGCAACCCCAAATCCCTAACCCCGAGAGTTCGCCATCGTATGGCTCTTATGGGTTATAGAGCTTGTGGGTGTCTTCTGGTCTTCTTGTTAAACCCCTGAACCCTAAACCCTATACCCTATGCTCCTAAAATCTCCAAAACCCTATGCCCCTTTAAACCCCGAACCCTCAAGCCTTATACCCCTTTCAAACCCTAAACCTCAAAGCCCAAAAGTCCTGTACCCCCTTTTTTCAGCCCTAAGCCTCAAAGCCCAAAAGCCAAACCACCGAACCCCAAAAGCCCTACAAACCCTAAACCCTAAACCCAAAACGGGCTCCGCGCCTTGAGGAGGAGAGGCAATCCGAGGGCCGAGCCGGTCGGAACAGCGATGCGTCCATCTCCTTTCAGAAGCAGCTCCTGGGTTCGTCAAGGGTTTTGGGTTTAGGGAGTTTAAAGCTTAGGGTTTTGGGTTTAGGGAGTTTAGGGAGTTTAGGGAGTATAGGGCTTAGGGTTTTGGGTTTAGGGAGTTTAGGGAGCTTAGGGAGTATAGGGCTTAGGGTTTTGGGTTTAGGGAGTTTAGGGCTTTGGGCTTTGGGTTGAAATTTAGGGTTTAGGGTTTTGGGTTTAGGGAGTTTAGGGCTTAGGGTTTAGGGCTCCTGGGTTCCGGGGGTTGAAGGGGCTTGGGGGGTTTAGGAGGGTTTGAGGGGCTTGGGGGGTTTGATGGGCTTGGGGGATTTAGGGGGCTGAAATAATTACCAATACTCTGGGGGGTTTCTTGTTATATATATATAGTATAACATACCCCCCAAACCCTGTTCTAATGATTTAAGGCCATAGTATATGTTTCCCACCCGCCCGGCTGACAGAGTCGCACCGCAGGGATCATGTTGGGGCATACAGGGTCTAGGGTTTCGGCTTTGGGTTTGTTTAAGGGTTTCGGGTTTTGGTCTCCGCGTAAAGCTCCAAAACTGATGCCAAGCATAGGGTTTACGCTCTCACAACTCGGACAAGCCAGGCGAGGTTCATGGTACGAGGTCGGCGTGAAAGCATAGGGTTTAGGGTTTAGGGTTTGGGGTTTAGGGTAGTTGTGTCTATTGGCTCATTGTTGGATCGTAGAGGAGCCGAACCATGGGAGTGGTTGACCCAAAAACGCCATGGAACCACAACGAAAGAGTACATGTAGCGCACTAGTTCTGCTGAAGAACTGAGCGGAGGCGGAGGGTCGTTGAGGGTTTTGCCTGGAGAATACGCCTCTGGAAGGTACTGGGGGTGCTGGCTTAGGGTTTAGGGTTTAAGTCAAGTACTTGGGCCTGCTTCCTTCATAACCCTAAACCCTAAACCCCTAAACCCTAAACCCACAAAAAGCTCTGCACTTCTCCCTGTCGGCCTCAACCAGCAGCTCCAGCTGGCGCGTGTCACCTTGGGCTGCAGCCTCACACAGCCTCAGCAGCAGGAGGTTCTAATACAGGAGCTGCCTGGATTTAGTGTGTATTACTATACAGGGTATCAAGTTTCAGGTACAACAACCTGGAAACCCTACTCTCTGATATACATCCAGAGGGTATAGTATCTTCAAATCGTTTCCGCTGTGCAAGACTCCAGTCTCGGATGAGTTCGGATTTCGAAAGGAGCCTGAAATGGGTCATGTGACAATGTGGGGAGGTGCAGCTTCAGGCCATTCGGGTTCCATGGCACGTGTTACTTTCAGGGTCTTATAGAGGGGCTAACTGAGGCGTAGGGTTTATAGGTTTCAATACTTGGTACATGTTGCAGATACTAAAACAGTACTAAACCTATGAAAACATCAGTAGCCTCAGTGCGGTCACCTTCATAGGAGCGTTGTTCAGGGCATGATGCCCGTCGGAGGAGTTTAGGGGTCTATAGGGCTTCCTCCGTGCTTCATCGATTTGAAGCGTGTGCGGGGTGTTTGGTGTTTATGAGGCTTCCAGGCTGCAGGGGCGGTCGAGGCAATTCGTTGGAGGTATATGGGCAGTTCTCTAAATTAGGGTCCCTTTTGGGGGTCCTTTTTTACAAGGGTGCCGTACTATATTGTGGACCCAAAATGGGACCCTGGTTTAGAAAACTACCCATATAAGCCATATATGGGAGTACCCAGGCCTGAAAAGTAAACTAAACAGCAACCTTCGAGCCTCTGAGGCGAAGCATCGTCAAAAAAGCATGACGGCTTATCTCGGGGAGATCCGGGGGGCCTCCTAGCAGGGATGGTATAAGTGTAAGCTCGTGCTCGGTATTCCCTCACAGAGCTTGGGCTCACTTTCAACTGGGAAAGCCACAGACATCGAACACCTGCACGAAACTCGAGGCTAGAAGACGGTGACTGCCGCCGAAAAAAAGGTTGGACAAGCTAGAACAAGCCCTAACTAAACCCTCTACAGGACCCATACCCTAAACTCCAAACCCTAAACCCTAAACTCTAAACCCTAAACCCTAAACTCCATACCCCAAAGCCCCAAGCATGCCGGCTTCCTTTGCAAGCTCAGCAGCTGCACTGCGGCCGACACGCCCCCTTCGAATTCTGCATTGGCCTGGCCGAAGTCTTCAAATGGCTCTAGAGGTATGCCATGTTTGCCACTGTATACCAATGACCTGCAAAGCGGAAATGCCAAACCGCCGCCACACACGTCATGAGCATACGTGCAGCATAAAGCTTGCAGAAAAATCGTGGCAGTTGCACAAGCCTGTAGCCCCAAAAGTGTACAGAATAGTAGGTAACGACCCCGTAACTTGAGGGTATAACCTTAAATCGGTAGGTTATTGGATCCCCAGGCGTGCACAATTACAACCCTGCAGTCAGTGTTGACCTGGCCAATGGAAACAAGACTGAGCTCAAGTCACAAGCGCCCAGAGACCAAAATCACCTCGACCTAGACTGCACCTGTGTAATGCCGAAGCAAATACTTGCAGTGTGCTGTCTTGGAGGCTATAGCACTTCCCGTCGGGTCCAGGTACCCATATGGTGCACACTTGGGCCGTAACAAGAGGGACCCATTGAAGCACTTCAGGGTCCAAGCACATACCATCCTGGCACATGGACCTTTACAGTTTGGAAGGAAGTTGAATACTTGACATGTTGGATTTTTAACGCGGAAGCTCCTACGGCGTCCAAAACCACCTCTCCACTACAGTTTAAAATGCCCTGCAGCCTAAACCACTGAACCCCTCAACTCTGAATTCTAAACCCCTAAACCTCTGAACCCCAAAACCCCTTAAACCCCTAAGCCTCTGAACCTACTTAAACCCCTGAACCCCCGACCCCGGCCTCGATAAGGAACTCCGCCACCTCCGAGCGCCTCTCTCGGACGGCGTCGTTCAGCGGAGTGTTCCCGAACCGATCCTCCACCATCAAGGACGCGTTCCACTCCTGAGGTTGCAAGGCTTTGGGTGTGGGTATATATGCGCGTGTGTGTATATGCGTATGTACGCAAGGGTAAGAGTGAGAGAGAGAGAGAGAGATAGAGAGAGAGAGAGAAACAGAGAGAGAGAGAGAGAGTGTGTGTGTGTATGTAAGAGTAAGAGAGAGAGAGACGGAGAAAGAGCGAGAGAGAGAGAGAGAGAGTATACGTGAGAGTAAGAGACAGAGAGAGGGAGACATCGAGAGAGATAGAGAGAGTATACGAAAGAGGGAGGGAGAAAGAGAGAGAGAGAGAGAGAGAGCGAGAGAGAGAAGGCGAGAGAAAGAGTAGACGTAAGAGTAAGAGAGAGGGAGAGAGAAAGAGAGAGTCAGAGAGAGTATACGTGAGAGTAAGAGACAAAGACAGAGAGAGAGAGAGAGAGGGAGCGAGGGAGAGAGAGACAGATAGAGAGGGAGAGCGATGGCGTGTGTGTGTGTGTGTGTGTGTGTATAGCCATCATAAGCTATACCGAACCCTAGTGCCCTTACGGGTTCCAGGGTTTCGGGTTTTGTAAAGCTTAGGGTCTGTAGGATTTCCCACTTCTGAGGTTGGGACTTATGCTCAGTAGTCAGGGTGAGAGCATAGTAAACGAATTCTGAACAGGCTAGATTCGGACACCAGCCTTTCGACGATGCGCAGGTGGCCTTCGCACACTGCAACGTGAAGAGCAGTGCGACCGTCCCAGTTCCTGATTGGTGCAAGGTCCAGGATCGAAGGCTCAGGGTTTAAAAGTTTTCGGGTTTAGGGTCTAGGCTTTTTAGGCTTTAGGGGTTTTTAGGGTTTTGAGTTTAGGGTTCAGGGTTTACGGTTGAGGGTTTTTGTGATTCGGGTGTCTCCGGAAACCCGGGACCCCTGTTTAGGGTACCAAGGGTCCTAGATACTGTTCAGGGTGGTTGCTAGTAGGGTCTCTTGTTTGCTGAAACCCAAACTTTTTCGCGGGGGCAACTGCTCTACAGGTGCATCTGCTGTAAAACCGAAAGCCTGAACAATGTCTAATTCTATGTGTTGGGGTACCTTCTTTTTCTACTTTCATGCACCGCAAAACCCTTTTCAGGATCATTTAGACCCCCCCTATTACTCCTGAAACCCTTAATTAACCCTCGGACCTTGTGCGGCGTCCCCTAAACCCCAGGACTCAGGACCTTGCGGGCGCCATCTCAGACGCTAAAGAGGGATTGCAGAACAGCCGTGGGGGCACTTCAGAAGGGTTCTATAAGGGTTGTATGGGGGCTATAGAACACAAGGTCGGATAAAGGGTCCTGCCACCAGTTTATGACTAGATGAGCCTTTTACCTCGACCCCAATGGGAGTTTCATGCAGTATAGGACCTAATCTATACCTATGTTGGGCAAATGTCGGATCCTCAGAACAATGACCCTGGAATAAGGTATCTCTGGTTTTCGATGCCACCAACCTTGCGATCCTACCAGCTCCCATCAGAAAACTAAAGGGAGGCTACCGCTTCAGGGGTCCATACAATCAGGATAATTGAAACTCAGGATTCATATTCGCAAACCTTGGTTGGCAAAATTCCCGTTTAACCTCCATCTGAAACCGTTGGCTTTGCGACTGCTTCCCGACACGATTCGCAATGAGTCCGATGTGCGCAACCCTGCAACTCAAACCAAAAGGCCCAACCCTGCTGACATCAGGCTTGCATGTGGCCCAACCTTACACACAGTTCCACCGAGCCGCCCTGAATCGACTGTGACCTTGTTCGCCTTGAGCATGGTCTCCATCATCTCCCACTTTCCCTGTGCTGCGAACTCGATGAAGTCATTTACGCGCTGCTGGGCCTTCTTCTCTTGCTGCGTCCGAATCATGCTGCGGACTTCCTGAGCAAGCTGGGCTTAAGAAAAGTGTGGGTTTACGGCTTTGGGGGTTGAAGGGTTCGAGGTTGGATTCTCGGGAATTATGCTCCTGAAACCCTAAAACCCTAAACCCGAAAACCCCTAAGGTCCCTAAAACTCCTAAATCCGGTGAAGCTGACCCTGACCGCTCGACGGAATCGAGGCCGAACGAAGCCGGGCTGGCCCTTATTGATTAAGACAAGGGTTCAGGGTTTCGACTCACACACTCGCACAAGCAGGCATGGCAGGTTCCGTCCCGAGCTTGCTACAGGCACATGACCGGGTTCAGGGTTTAGGGTTTTTGCTTTTTTAGGGGTTTAAGATTTAGGACCAAGGGCCCTATATTACAATTACGATAAGGCACCGTATGGAATAGTATTGCTAGTTACTAGTTATGATTATGTGCGAAACCCTGAGTAACCGCAGGATTGAGAGACAGTGTTGAACGTTTGATACTACATGAGGTAGCATTGTCTGTCAATGGTTCCGGCACGCTGCGTGTCTTTGTAAATACCATGAGCCCTCTGAATGCACTTCCCCAGAGGCTCCATGTATACTACCATTATGGAATTAGGGCCCAACAGACCTTCCTTATTATGGTTTTAGGGACCTAATTCCATACTGGTAGTATATATGGAGCCTCTGAGTGGGAACCTCAACGGGAAGCTGTCCTACGGTGGATGATAGAAATCCTGCATTACCCATAATAAGGACTATACCATAATTCCCGTAGTTTAGGGTCCTTAAGGTGATGCAGGATTTATAACATCAACAGTAGTTCATGGAAAAACTTGCTCCTGGTTGCGTTCACGGCCCGGACAATTGTAAATCCACTACTTCGTATGTAACATACATTAGAGGTCTGTTTTCTTGGAACAAGGTCTTACATTTACAATGGTATCATAATGACTTAATGAGCCCGAAAAAACAGCTTTACTACTTATACCGACCTCTATAATAGCACTGGCCAGCCAGCGCTATACGAGTTTAGAGAACTACTTAAGGCCCGATGTGGCTTTTGGCTTCCAACTTCGCTCAGCGGCGGCCACACCCTCCAGGTTCAGATCGTGGATGGCCCTTGCATGCTTAGGGCTTGGACTCGAGGATCCGGCTGTAGACTCGAGGATCCGGCTGTAGGATTGGGCTCAAAGGTTGAACATTTGGGGCTTCGCGTTTTAGGTTTAGTCTTCTGGCCAGCTTGTCCAGTTGAGGGAAAAGGCAGGCGTAGAGTTTGCAGCTCATCGAAGCCAAGGCCGTGAAGCAAAAAGGGTGTCTACACCTCTAGGCGAAAAGGGGCCCTCACTGATCAGGATCCTGCCCCCTAAACCCTAAACCTAATCTTTGGGCGTATGTTGAGATCTACATGTGGGCCCACATGATGCTCGGACACTGCACATACTCCTGCATGGAAGAAACACTCGAACACTTCAACCTGAAGCAATGCGCAGTGAACGGTGGTTGTGATTTGATGCTGCTAAAGCAGCTGCATCATAGATCGCTATCGCTACAGCCAGCTTTTGCAATCTCGTCAGAACTAACAGAACCATGGGCGACATCAAGGGCAACGCATCTCTTTATGTAAACGTACCGAAAGCCAGCAGAAGTTCGACACTACAGCAAGGGATCGAAAACAAAGCTTGCGGCAATGAGCTCCCACTGCGACATACAGATTTTTGCTTGTGTGGATTAGGTCTCATGTATACTACTAAGAACTGTGTGGATTTCAACTCCACAACACCATGCCCATGAGAGTTTGTTAATATCTGGAGCCTCTGCTTACGACAACCTGCAAGAGCATAAAAGCTATAATCAAGCGACAGATCTGCGAAGAGGTCCACGCCACCTGCGACCCGCCGTCTGCCTCGATCGGGACGGATTCAGCACATCCAGAGCGGGGTTTCTGCTTCTGCGGAAAGTTCAATTCGCCGGCTTTCGGCGTGCTTGAGGATTCAGTGCCTGCTGCAGACGCCTTTGAAGATATGCATGTGCGAAAGCTGCGAGCCGGATACCCAAACAGTTGCGAAGGCCCCCCATAATGAAACCCTGCATAAAGGAAACCCCTACAGAGGGTGGAGCATGGGCATGATGTCACAGCGCGTGAGAACATCGTGAGCTGGCTTCCTGCAGCCCCATATGGTAGTATCCGGAGGAAGAGGCATCGAAATACTTTTGCTACAGCATCAACAACAAGAAGCCGCACTAATGGTATTTTGATGATTATGCAATGATGCGTGGATGTCGTCGACGTCTGCTACCACTGCCAAGCCCCATGGAGCGCCTAGGGCCTTGACAATGAAGGTCGGGGCGTGGGGTGGGGGTCTGGGGGATCTTTCTAGTATGGTTGTAGACCGAAGCCCTCAAGCCCCTAAGACCTCCACACTCAAGACGAGCTGCGCTTCGTGCTCACGGAATGTGCAGCAGAGTGGTCATCATCCTGGAGCATCGTCCTCGGCACTCTTCGTTTTAACATGAAGGTGCAGGGTCTTTGAGTTTTGGTCTTAGGGCAGTAGGATTTTGGGGTTTAGGGCCTTGGGGTTTTGGAGAGTATCTCGCACCAGTTCGAATACGTACTGCGCCACACTCGTAAACTAAACCTTCTACGAGAAAGTCCTCCTACTCCCACTGCGACTGTTTTTGTACCAATCATCGTACAACAAAAAACTCTACCTTGAACTAGCAAAACCTACTTTTTTTGGTAGGGCCCGGTTCTATTCTGAGTTAGGGTTCATCATCATAAGAGCCTGCAAAGAAACGGAGGTTGTGGTAGTTTAGGGCTTTCTAGGTGATGTGGGCACCTCCGCCCCACCCCCCCCCCTACATGAGTCAGGTGGAGAGTCGTAGCATCGGATTCAGACTCTCTGGTCGGGTGCGGGCTTGGGCTTACGATGGTTTAGGGTCTACTTTCAACCCCCAAACCCTCCTTTTTCAAGGATTTTTAACAGGAAACCATGATAAGACACCAGGATATTCAGGGTCTATAGGGGTTTACAGGTGTAGGCGATTCTGGGTCCAGCGTTTAGGGTTTAAAGATCAGGGGTCAGCGTTTAGGGTTTTCGGACTGGGAACTTAAGTCGAAGAGTCGAAGGGACACTGTCGAGACCTTACAAAACAACACTTCAAAGGCCCCCCCCCCAAAAGCGGAAGCCACGACACATCGGCAAACCCGAAGAAGGCCTCTTAGTAGCCCCTATAGAACCCTCAGAGGAGCCCTTAAATTCAAAAACGACGCCCTCAAACTAAAACGGAAGACCAGGGCACATCGGCATGCCCATCGCAGCCCCAACTCCCTCGTTGGCCGGATCTCGGTGCATCGTCTGTGCCTCTGGAATCACCTTCACCTGAGTTTAGGGTGTAGGAGTTAAGAGGTTCGGGCCTAGGGTTTCAGCCACCATAATGATGAACCCAGAATATCTACTTGCGATCCCGAGTATGGTGCAGGAACTTGAAGTCCTGAAAAACCTACACCACCAAACCAGTACTGGTCGCTTAAACCCCATTGAAGCTCTGAGCTCGCAACCCCGGCTCCCTAAGCTTCCTTGTGGTTCCACTACGGCTGCTGTATACTCCTGTGCTAGTTCCTTCGAAAGTTCCAGCAGCCACGCCTCTACATCTAAATCCCGAATTCTCCCAACCTTAGGCCATGGGGAGCCTGCCAATTTGAAGGATTGGATTAACAAACCCCCTCTGACAGGGATGCTTATCTTCGGCTTCTTCAACACAGGGGGCTCATTCGTGAGGAGTCTACATGAATTTACAACCCTTTTTGCAGTTGAGCTGTCATGCATTCGAAGTGAAGATTTTTCCCACCCGCTTCGCTGACTAGGTCGCAATGCAGGGAAAACCCAAGCTCCAAGACTACAAAACTCGAGGGGGCAAGTCCTGGGCCCTCTGCACTCTCGGTGAAGTTTGGGACTCCGTGGTTTGAAAGCAATATAAGCATAGGCTCCATTTTAGCTCCTTTTTGTGGCTCATATTTAAAATCCTATAAGGTAATCCCCAAAAGGAACTACTATGAAGCCTCTGGGTAAGCATAGCCTCCGGATCATAACCAGCGCGGAAGTCATCATAATGGTTACGACGGAAACAGAAATTGAGTAGCAACCAGCACTGACATCAGTTCAAGCACACCACCAGCAGCCCCAGAGCCGCTGTGCCAGTATCATACAGTATCACCATCACAAAACTGAACAAAGTACAACACACACACAGTAACAATCAGAGCAGAAAGCGCTGAGAAACGAACAATCCTTAAAAGGAGAATCGCTCAAACTTGTGCTAGAACGGTAACAGCAGTAGCAACAGCAGCCACAACAGCAAACGCAAAGTCATAACCAAACGCCAAAGAAAAATCCCAAGCTACAGCAGAAGCAGAAGCAGCAGCAGCAGCAGCAACTTCAACAACAGCAACAACAACGGCAGCAACTACTACCACTACGTACCACGTATGTAAACTGTGTACCCGCGTGAAACCATGCCTGGAAAAAAGAGCATAAATGCCCAAAAAGAAGGGCCTGGGCTTCATGCTTGGCTGCTGAAAAATATGTGGCAAAGATTCAAAGGCTGGTACCGGAGTTGGGCGACCCATGTAACCCAACAAAGCGCCTTGATAAAGAAACAGGAATTCGGGATATTTAAACTACCTATAGTCTCCATTGTAGTTCCTTTTTTTGGTGTAACCAATTGTATACTAAGGATCCTAAAAGGTAACCCCAAAAAGGAACTACAATGGAGACTATAGGTATAATAACAACTATAACAACTATAAAGGGACTAGAAGGGTCGAGCAGCCACATTGCCGTTAATGGTCTCCTGATCCTTTGGGTGTAGCTGCATTGCGAAGTGGAGGTCCTGCGGCTTAAAGGGTTTAGGGTTTAGGGTACCTTCTGAAAAGCTGCGCGCGGCACCCTAAACCCGAAAGCAGCCCAACCGTCTTCGAAGTAACCCGCACTAAAGCCGCGCTACCGAAGGCTCAAAAGCCATCCAGCAGGGTCCTGACCCCTAAACTCGGGTACCTAAGCTGCGCCACTTGCCTTTTGAACGTTACTTGCTGCTCTGCTAAGTCAGCTGACGCCCCAAGACAATAATGCAACCCTTTTTTTGAACCCAGACTCTGCCAATCAGCTGGGAAGCGGCACTTCCAGACTCTTGCATCCGGGAAGCGTCGCCGAAACCCTAAACCCTAAATCTGATCAATCCCTAACTCCTCCCAGAGAAACCTGAACCCACAACCTCGAAACCAAGCCGAAAAAACACACAAACCCCAACCCCTCCCTAAAAACCTCTCAAGGCATGCACACCCTTGGAAACCTCGCCCCTAACCAAAATCACATCTTTCACCCTAAACCCTGAGCCTTCAACCTCTCAATCCCTAAACACCCTACGTAGACTGCTAGATCCTAACTCTAAACCTGAGTTCCTTAAACCCTACAGTTTTCAACACCTACACCCTGAAGTCCTGAACCTTTCAGCTTTCAAGACCTAAACCCTATAAAGCCCTTCAGCTTTCAGCTTTCAAGACCTAATAACCCTAAACCCTAAACCCGAAACCCTAACCCATGCCCAGAGCTCCTCGGCACGAAGCTTGATGAGCTGTGTCTCCTCCTCGCAGATGATGGCCATCTTGTGACGAAGGCCGAACCTTTCGTCTCCATACACTTTTGGGGCTGTGAAGTCGAGGGCTCAAGGGGGCTTAGGGTTTTGGCTTAAGGGAATTTAGGGGTCTAGTGAGTCTAGTGTTTGGGTTTACGGTTTAGCCGGGGGCTCAACGTCTTTGGCTGTGGGGGAGTTCATGTCGATGTGCGTTTTGTGATAGGTTACAGTATGTCGTGTATCATACATAACATACATACTTTACTTCACTTTCCCCGTTGCAGAAGAAGTCTTGCTGCGAACGCAAGCGGAGGGCAAGTGCTGTTGCACCCGGCCGTCAGCGGTACGATTTCGTACTCCCTCCCCAGACAAGCGTAGATAAAACACTTAGGACTCCCGGCACGAATGCCCAAAAGCGGAGTCAGCGGCACTTAATAACATACATACATACATGCATACATATATGTATTTCTGCCTTTACCGACATACACTTATCAAGTGTCAAGCAGCTGGCGTCCAACTCGCCTCTTAGACGACTATGGCTTAATTAACAAGAAGCTACATACTTGGATGCGAACATGTGTGCACACCTGGCATCTGTTTCGTCCCGCATCGGCATAAAATGGACCCTAAACCCTAAACCCCTAATCGAACTCTAATAGGAGGACTGACCAGGTACAGAACACGCGTGTGCAGCGTAGCACGCGCTGCACGCGGGTGGGGGTGGGGGGGGTTTGGAGCGTAAGACTTGTGAACGTTTCTTGTATCTTCACTTGCGTAGTCGCACATCGTCACATGCCGAGGCAGATCACAGAGCAACGGGCGGCTGCTCAGAGTTGCCAACTTGAGCCCAACTCGAAAACGGCCCTGAACTACAAAACAACTTCTCAGCCATCGGGACATGCAGGAGATGTCGCAGAACGCCGTGCCCTTCTCCTCCACCCGGTCGACCTCTGCTGGGCAAGTAACTCGACGGAGAGTTTCAGTGCTTTGGTTTATTCAGTTCAGACCCTGAAAGGGACATTTACACGAACCCTGAATCGGAAGGTCCATGTGCAAAAACCCTTGCGGAACCTCTGTGGATGCCTATGAGGCCTTCGAAGAGATCACTTAAGGGCGCCTCAACCTAAAACCCCGAAAGCCCTAAGCGCTAAACTCGAAGACCCCGTTGAAAAGACCTCGGAGCTGTAAAGTCCTGCCTCGTCGTTGTTCGCGTCGCGGATCTGAACTGCGCCGGACCGAAGTATGACGAGGAAAGTCGCTGGCTCACCCACCTGGAGTTTGCATTTGCATGTGTTTTTTGTTTTTTCTTTGGGGAGCTTAAGGTTGCGGGTTGGCAGCTTGTGGGCTTCATTAGGGGCTTGGGGTTTCTAGGGGTTTGGGTGCTTAGGGTTTGCTGGTCTATGGCTTCGGAACTCTAAACAAGAGCTGCTCGTAGAATCCCGTGGAGCATGAACATGACAATGCTTGTCGATAGATAGCTCGGCCTGAATCAACCCAAGAGGAGAGTAGAATATGCAGATCTTCTTGGAAGACGATCCAGCTGCTTCGGTTCAGTTATACTGGAATAAGAAATTAAACCTTAGGCGCCCTGAGAACCATAGTGACCCCTATAGAACCCAAGTCACGATGGCAGACTGTTCTGAATAGGGTCTTATAGCGAAATCACCCCAAACCCTCAAACACATATAACGCCCCAAATAATCGGCGAAAGCCTACGGTATAAACCCCATAACACCCCTATGCAAGCCTAGTCTACAACACCCTAAAAAGCCCAAAGAGACCCTGGGAAAGCCATGATGCCAGGATACTCCGAGAGCTACACGCACTTTAACTTAAACCCCCCACGAACCCAAAACTCTAACCCTTGTAAACCCTGAACCATAAGACCAAAACCCAAATCCTCGACCCGTAACCCTCATGATGGCAGGATGCTCTGCTAACGAACGCACCGGCGGAGAATGTCCATAGTCGGGAAGTGGTCGCAAGTTGCAGCAGAAAAGGCTCCTCGGGTCGATCCCGACTTCATGAATTTCATGAGGATTCCACAAGTGTCTTTCATCAGGGTTTAGGGTTTGGGGGGTCTGCAAGTGTCCGATGAGGGTACTATGACATAGCATTGTATGAGGGGGCCTTTCGGACCCCGTTGAGCTTGAACTTTTGCGGATGTAAGAGCTGGGTGGGTTTTTGGTTGGTGGAGGATGTAGGACTCAAACCTTAGGATGGTAAGGGGGTTTAGGCTTTAGGACAAGGCACCTCGTTCAGATCTGCCTTTGACAATTTCGCACACTAGTCTTTATGGGGCTGCATCGGGTTTTGCCGAATGCTTTTGATGCGATTGCACAGAATTCTGAATTTGTTTTCAATGGTTAGAGGATCTAGGATTTAGGCATGAGGCTTCGAGTTTAGATTAAGGGTGCCAGGGCGGTTTACGGGTTTGGGGATTCGGATTTGGGTTTCTCGGAAAAGGCTCCCTAGCTGAGCCTGGGGGTTCATTCACACAAAGGCGTCCGTTCGGGTCTACAGGGCTTCAATTTACAGGTCCAGGGTTTACGATAAGAACCTACAGAAACGTGGTTATGGTAGTCTATAAGGCATTTTGAGAAGTGCATCGTGAGGGCTCGAAGAGCTCAAGGTTTCAGTGCTTTAGAGTCTGTAGGGTTTCATGCTCCACAACGTGTACCTCCCTTAGTGCTGCTTGTTTTTTTTGTGAGCTCCCTTTTCGTGACTGCCTATCCGATATCACGACCCTTGGCGTTTAGGACATAACATAACATAAACATAGCATCCCATAAGATAAAATAATATACCTTATATGTACCTAACTATTTTTAGTTGGGATTCAGCGTCGCAGTGGGAGGAATTTAACTGGGCTTCGGGCTTACGTGTGACACCCCAAAACCTCCAACTTTGGCTCAGGGTTTGGGGCTTTGGGCCGTAAGATTTAGGGTCTATAGGGCTTTAGGGTTCCGTTGAAGGGTTGCGCGTCAAATAACAAGCTTTAGGGTTTTGGGTTTAGGGCAATATTCAGGGTTCGGGTTTAGGGTTTAATTTCACGTTGCTAAAAGGTGCTGGAGCCTGGCTGAAGGGATCTACGACTTCGTGCATTGCGGTTCCCTGCTCCAAAAAAAGGATGCGCCGGCCCTGTATCTTGTAGACAAGGCTCGGAGCAGCCTTTGAAGACCCCCACCTGAAAGCTTCGAGTTTAGGGTTTAGGGCTTTAGGGTTTTAGGGAGGGTCCAAAGTTGTCTTTTCTTTCTTTTTTCCTGTTGTAAAGCTTGCAGCTTTTCGGGTTCGCCCCGAAACTCACAAATAGCCCTCATGTAAGCGTCTTGATGATTAGAATGGGGTTTTGGGCTCCTTTATAGTAGAATTATAAGAGGAACCCCCACAATAGTTTGGGTAATTGTTTAAGCCCCTATATTAGCTCGGGTCTGTGGAGGCTTGGACGGTCCGGCAACGCCACCTGAATGCTCGCTTCAAGACATTCTTATGACCTCTTCAGAAAAAGGAGGCTCCCAAAGGTCCAGCGAGATCCCAAAGCCTAAACCCCAAAACCTTATAAACCCAAAACCCCAAGTAGACCCACAAACCCTAATCCCCAAACCCTGAACCTTACCTCCCCTCTTGCCCCTCACAAGACTGAGCGTTGGCTTTCACAGTCATACTATGGACCACGAGGTGGAATGCACGAATCTTTGTAGCAAGCAAGTCAATTCAGCATGCATAGGGAGGCCTTTGATTTAATGCGGTGGCTTAGGGTTTGAGTTTCTTAGGGGTTTGGGGGTGCGTGGGGTTCCGGTCCAAATGGTACTAGATGAGGCTTTAAGAAGCAGACCAGGGTTGTGGGGTCAATCTAGTTTAGTATAGCTACCATAGTTATACATGGAAAGTAGCAAACTAAAGCCACAAAGCAAGCCCTCAGCCCGCGACCGTCAAAATCCTCCAACCCCCCCGCTTGACCTCTCACTCCCGATAGCTGTGCAGCGGATCAGTTCGGGATTTGGACCCCAAATCCTCCCAAGTCCAAACCCAGCGTTCCGGGTCGTGAGTTTGGGGTTTCGGGCTCAGGGTCTCTAGGGTTTAAGGGGTTTAGGGAATTAGGGTGTACACTTCCTGAGTTGTGCATGGTATCCTGGCGCAGGGGCTGTGCTAATCTTCTCTGTATCGTTTCAATTTCTATCGGAGGACCTTGTGGTTCAAGGGTTTAGGGTTTAGGGGCTGACTCCAAGCCCAGCCAAGTCACACCCTGCAGCCACTTGAGGAACACGCGGCGACCAATCCGGGTCAGCAAGCCGCGTGACAGGCTCCTTGAGTCAAAGCTCCTAAACCCTAAACCCTAGAACCCTAAAGCCCTAAACCCTAAAACCCAAAGCCCGTCTGATCCGCAAAAAGCATAGTTCTCTTGTGCAAAGGGCGGGCGGCAGGGCCGTAGTTCACGGTTTAGGAGCTTCCTCGACCCAAACAACCTAAGGCTCCTTGTTATAGGGTTTATGGTTTAGGGGTTTAGGATTCAGGGTTTAGGGGTTTAGGGTTTAAGGGTTTACGGTAAAAACTAAATTACTATGAGCTTATAGAAATCCTTAAAAACGGTAGGCTCTTTGGGGTTAAGGACAAGGTGGCACTAAGCCCTTAACCGGACCGGTGGTTTCCTCAAAAGGAGTCTCCCGGCTGCGGCATCGGACGCAAAAGCGCGGAGCGCTGAACCTTCTACCGTAAAGAGTTAAACTAGGTTAAAGTCGTTTTTTCCTGGGGCGGGCGGGGTGGTACTGCAAAATAGTGCAACCCAGAAGTGTCTAATTGAAATACCCGGGCCTCCAGACTGAAACCACCCTTCAACCCTGAACCCTTCACCCAAACCCTTCAATCCACACCTCATGCCCCAAAACATGGACGCCCGAACCCCGAAATCGTCAAACCCCCGACACCTAAACGCCTGAAGGACTCCGCAACATCAGCCCTCCCCTCCATGCCCCCTTTATAAATGCCAAGCCCTGCCCTAAACCCTAAGTCCCAACCCAAACCCTAATCCCTAAATCCTCAACCCTAAACCCTAAACCCAAACCCCTAAAACCCTAAACCCCTAAATTCCTCCCAGCCACGTGAGCACGGCCTCCATCGTTCGCTGATCGGCGGTTCGGTCGCCCTTCGGGACCGAACCCGAAGCCTGTTTAGGGTTTAGGATTTAGGCTTTAGGATTAGGGCTTATAGGGTTTAGAATTTAGGGTTTAGAGTTTTAGGGTTTAGGATTTAGGGTTTAGCATTTAGGATTTAGGGTTTTAGGGGTTAGGGTTTAGGGTTGAGGATTTAGGGATTAGGGTTTAGGGATTTTGCCGGTGGGCTTTAGGGTCCAAGGTTGAGGAAGAAGTTAGGGTTCGGATTTAGGGTTTAGCAAATGGCCTACCTTTTTGGGGGGCTCCTTCCGATTTCTTTATAGAAGCCCTGAAGAAGGTAGGTTTTTTGGGGCATAGGTGAGTTTAGGGTTTTGGCCTCCGGCTCCTCCCCAAATACACCCTGGAATAGCCCGTAAAGAGCCCTTTTGAAAGACCGCAAACCCTAAACCCCACAGAATCCCGAAACCATAAAACCCTAAACCCCTGCAACACCCGAAGCCCTGAGCTCATGTCAAGAACAGACGGCCGAGAGAGAAAGCAAGCACACGAGAATATCGCCAGTGGTCGAAGTCGCTGCTCAAGCTTCCATGATGCATACCGCATCGCAGCTGAGCCCAAAGTGTCGCACCCACGGGCCGATGATGATGCCCCATCCGTGTGATTCCCTGTTCACCGGCTGCCGCAAGCAGGTTGTCCAGAAGTACATGGAGATTACGGGCCCCCAAAACCCGGGACACTCCCGAAACCCTAAACCCTAAATCCCCACAGCGCCATAAAACCCTAAACCCTCATAGCGCCCCAAACCCTAAAGCCTTTATAACACCATTGAGTAACCCCTTAAAGGAACTGCTAAAACCAAGGCTTATGGTATCCCTTATGAAGGAAGGAACCCAAAACAGGAACCTCTAGAGCATCCCTAGAAGGAACCCCCCCCGTGCTTTTGGATGCTTTGATTCCCGCAAGGGGTGGAAAGCCCAGAGCCCCTTTCTTTTTCTGCATCCGGGCTGTGAGTTCTAGTGGGCTAAAGGTGTAGCAAACCCTCGATCCTACTTGGAGGTTCATGGGTAGTTGTAGGTGGGGTTAGAAGCAAGGTAACTGTAGTTATAACGGGGACTTATAACCCCACTTATAACTACCCATGAACTTCCAAGTAGCACCCCTAAACCCTAAACCGCAAACCCTCGAGCCTAGCACCCCTAAGCCCGCCTCCGTCGTGGAGGTGTTGAGGCGGATCTGCTCAGCGAGCTCCGGAGGCAGGCCCGAGTTCGAGATGAAGGTGTCGACCTTAAAGGAGCTCTTACTATTGCGAAGAACCCTATATATCCCATTAAAGAAGCCCTTAATACGGAACCCTCTCTCTCTCTCTATATATATATATCCCTTAAAGGAGCTCTTATTCAGAACCCTATATATCCCTTTAAAGGAGACCTTAAGACGGTACGGAACCCTTACTATATAGATCCCTTAAAGGAGCCCTTAATACGGAACCCGTACTATATACATCCCTTAAAAGGAGCCCCTTAATACGGAACCCTTGCTACTATTATAGATCCCTTGAAGGAGCCCGTAAAGCAACCCCTAAACCGTAAAACCCCAAAACCCTAAAACCCCAAAACCCTGAAACCTCTAGATCCCTCAAGAGAGGCCCGTTAGAGGAACTTATAGATCACTCGGAAGGTGCCGACCTTAGGCCTGCCCGCTTTTGGGATTGAGGGCTTTAGGGCTTAGGCGGTTTAGGCGGTTTAGGGTTTAGGGCTTGGGGCTCAGGCGGTTTAGGGTTTAGAGCCTTGGGTTTAGGGTTTTGGGTTTAGGGGCTGGCTAGGAGAAGCCCGTGTTGCAGGGCTCAGCCAGAGAGCTGACTGGACGCAGCGACGGGATTTAGGGCCTTTTTCCCTAGGGTTTAGGGGTTTAGGATTTAAGGGATTTAGGGCCTTTTTCCCTAGGGTTTAGGGTTTAGGATTTAAGGGATTTAGGGTTTAGGGGTTTAGGGTTTAGGGTTTAGGATTTAAGGGATTTAGGGCGTTTTTACCTAGGGTTTAGGGTTTAGGATGTAGGGGATGTAGGCTTTGGGACTTAGGGTTTCGGGGTTAGGGCTTCGGCCTCGGGGGTTGTGGCTTTGGGGATGTAAGGGATCTTAATAACATCACAATCGTTATGGAGTTCCAGACGGGGTCTCTGGGAGTTCTTTAGTTAAGGAAGGTACTCGGTGGGCTTGGGATTTACTGGGTTGTGCTTCAAGGATTTCAACAACTTGTGCTTTTGTACTCTGTGTTTTAGTGTCGAGTTTGTTTGTCGATTCGGTTGCTGCTGCTGTCTGTTGCTATCTATCTTCGCCAAACGGCTTCAGGGTTAAATAATACGTTCTTGTCTTGATTCTCGTCTTGTGTCTGCATGTTTGAAAGGGCTACAGTAGTGACTGGTGTTGGCAGTTTAGCTTTGGGGTTTCAGGGTTTGGGGCTCTAGGGTGTAGGATGATCGCGTTTTGTTGACGCTCACTCTCGGACTGTGCCAGGCAAGGTCTCAAGACAATACAGGACAAACAAATAAAGTCACGAAATCGATTCACTACATGACGCAAGCTGTCAACTGACACAATTAACCTTGAGTTTAGGATATAAGGGTACCGCCCTCATGTCGTACGGAAATCATACCACCACGACCTTTCTGTGTTTGGGTGTATGCCGAGATTAAGAGGCAGACGCCACTCCGTGATGTTGGATAACAGGATATTGCATGGATGATCACAAGCAAAAGCTTGCCTCCGCACACCATCTGTCCTGCCTAGCATCCAGAGGCTCCAAATCGCCCAATGCAGGTACATTTTAAGACTGTAGACCCCAAGCTAGGTACTGTTTGCACATTTGGAGCTCTAGGTAATTATCAAGACCCCTATGATCCTAAACCCTGAACATATGGGTAGTTCTTTAGACTAGGTTCCTTTTAGGTACTCAATATAGTACGGCACCCTTGTAAAAGGACCCTAAACGGGACCCTGGTTTATAAAACTATCCATAAGAAGCCTCAAACCAGGCGACCCGAGATCGCATCACCCGTGACTCCACAATGGACTCGTCCTGTGAGATGACTTTCCCAACCAGGGCTCCATCAATGTGACCATTCCTAGGATTCAAGACTTCCAAGCTCAGCGCTGCATGTAGAGTTTAGGCTTTTGCGGGGGGTTGAGGCTTTAGGGCTTGGACGGGGGCTCAAGAATAGTTACGTGAACGCTGAGGCCCGCTACATGCCCTCAACCGTTGCAGCAACCTTTTCATAAACTTTCAACGGGTTTAATGATGTGACATTTACTTGATTACTGCTGTGCGAGGCTCAGGGCCACGGACACGATGAAGCAGACTATGAGCCATCCCAGCTCGTAGTAGCTGGAGGGGTTTAGCAGATCGGTGCTGTCATTTGTCAACAGGAGCATCATCCCATACAAAGACAGCACATATTGCTCCAGTACCGGCACATGTGGCTGGTTCACGACACCCAGCCGGTGCGACATGCCTTCATAGATGCGGAACCATCCAGGCCCGTCGTAGCCCGAAGAAATCCTCGGCTCTAATCTTACCCTAACCTCCCAGGTACCTACTATATAGGTTACTAGAGCCCCTAGGGCCCTATATAGTAGGTACCTGGGGGGTTAGGGTTAAGCGAGCTTCCCTAAGAGGTTCGCGCTATCTTCTTCGAGAGGGCGTATACAAGCATGAGAGGGATCTCTAAGCAGAACTAACCCGGCAACTAGATAGAATGAGCACGGGAACCTGTAGATAAACATGTTGCATGACATGCTGTCCTTCTGATGGCAAAAATAGATAAAAAAATTCTGAGTTTGCCCTAAACCCTAAACCCTAAACATTAAAAAAAGATGAAATTTCTGATTCTGTGAGAGCCCAGCAGCTGCTCCTGGAACTCAACGTCTGTAGGCCACCCATTGCCAAGATACCAGAGGGTACAGGCCATGAAGTGCAAGAGCACCTAAGTTTGCAATGGGAGGACGGTTTAGGGTTTAGGGTTTTAGGGTTTAAGGATTTAGGGGTTAGGGTTTAGGGGTTCGGGTTTAGGGATTTAGGGGTTTAGGGGTTTAGGGTTTGCAAGACGTGCTCTGAGGATAGTAAGCGGTACCCGGTCAAAGGGATTTGGTTGGAGGTCAAATGTTTCTTCGACTTCGAAGTGATTGAAAGCCAGCGAAGCTAAATGAACAACATTCCAGGTTCGCGATAAGACTGGAATCGAACATAAGATCCCAAAACGAATCAAAGTACAAAGCAACCCAAAACGCCCTAAACCCTAAACCCCCAAAAATCTATAACTCCTAAACCCCCTAAATACCAAGAGGGCACATAGAGCTGCAGCATGATCTTGAAGCAGGTGAAAAGGAAACCTCCTCCGCTCTCCGACACGCGGCCCTGGCCTTTCCCAAATAAGTGGCGCAAGTGGAGTAGCTTGAACAACCTGCAGCATTTTGGGGGTGTAGGATTTTTTGCGGTTTAGGGTTTAGGGTTTTGGGGTATAGGATGTTTTGCAGTTTAGGGTGGTTTGGGATATAAAAGATTTTGACACTCACACTCGGACGCTACCAGGCAAGGTCTGCAGATATACGAGTATCGTCCGAGTGGGGTTAGGGTTGAGGGGTTTAGAGTTTAAAGGGCCGTCTGCGCAGCCAGGGTGTAGGGCTAGGGGAATCAGTGATCGTAGGGTTTTGGGTCCAATCAGGTCATACAAGTACTACTAATTGTCTCTGTATCCAGTTGTTGAAGATCTTAAACCCTGAATGAACACTACCCTAAACCCTAAATCCTAAATCCAAAACCCTGAACACTAGAAATTTCAGGGCTTCGGGCTTACGAAGCGGAATCTTAGAGTTTGGAATTCGAGATTGAAGGGATTAAGGCTGGAGTGACAAAAAGCGCCATTGTCGTAAGCTTCCTTACTGTTTAAGCTTGTGTGATTTATGAGCATGCGCATATGGTTTCCTTAAATACTCCACCAGAAGATAAGATTGTTGGCTACAGGTAAACGCTAAAGCACACACAAAACAAAGATAAACCCTTGAATCTCAATTGGTCTTAATATTTCCTGCAGAACCCTGATTCATCAAGGGGTCATATATGGACATCCTTATGGGGGAGAGGGCGCGTCAGGGGTCCATTCTGCTTGAACCCTTGCAGCAACCCTTGTGCAGGTTCCCTTGGGCAAAACAGCGCCTCCATGTCGCATACTCCCGCGAGTCATAGAATCCAGCAACCAGGAGGTCAATGGGAAAGCAGGCGAGAACATCCCAACTGAAGTTGCCCAGGAGGTATCGCACGCGAATCTGATGGAAGTCCATGACCGTGACACCGGAGCTCTGGACGTAACCCCGCATGAAGGTGAGCAGCAGGTTCCTCCAGGTTCAAAGTGCTTAGAGTTTCTCAGGCTAAAGGGCACTTGGGGTCTGAGGGCAAGTGGAAATACATCAGCCTTAGTCAGGGGTCGTATGACCCGGTAAAAGAAAACGTGTTACTATCTGAGCTGATAAGTTTCAGAAACATGAAGCAATCGAAGGAGACGTTGATCGTCAAGAAGATGGTCCGGCTCGGCTCGGGCAGCATGTCCACATTGCTTATGGCAAAGCGCATGGGGACCTGCGCAATATCGGGGCCTCCAAACTACAATAAGGAACCCTAGGAGATCATCTTCTAGATCGAACGAATCTTAATCTCTGTCGCCAGTCCTCCAATGTGAGGAATCCGTCATATGGTGAAATCCTATGCATTGGGTTCCTTCAGCAAGAAATAAACCCAAAACCCACACCTCAAGCATTTATCCAAGATCCAAACCCAACATCCGAAACCCCAGAACTCTAAATCAATCCCCGCCTCAAGCATAAAGTAAATGATCACGACCCTGCGCAGCGTGTCCCAAATTCGCAGCCAAATGCTGTCCTTAGTCCGCTTCTAGGATTCGGGCAGTTCTGTACATTGGGATCCCTCTTAGGGTCCTTGTTCTAAACAAGGACCGTAATTTAGAGAACTACGCATTTCGGGGTTGGGAAAACACAAATGCTCAAGCAGGGGGTGTTGCACATAAAAACCGTCAAGCAGTTACAGCTAAAGGTCACCGGAGCCTCAAAGGCGACTAAACTCCAAAAGAAGCACGAATCACCACCCTAAACCGTTGGCCCAAAACCGTAAAACGAAAACCCCAAACACAAGCCTTCTCCCCTGCATTCCAAGAGTCAGGTGGCAATACCAAGCCAGATAGTCTCTGAACCTTGGTTCCCCGGTGCCCAGTCGCCCCATCATAATAAGGGTTAGGATTTAAGGTTTTCGGGTTGAGGGATAATAAGGGCACCTTTTTTCCTAGTCTTCGATGCTTAATTGGGAACCCACCAAAAAAAGAAAATATAGCCTAAATAATAGGGGCCTTAATATTATTATTTAAGGTATAAACCCTAAACCCTAAAAAAAGAAAAGGGTACTACTGGGGGAGCTAGGAACGCAGGCCCAAGACATCTCGCCATCATTGGCGGTCTGGCCAGAGCTGTGCCTAAGAGGAGTGGCCGGGGTCCGGTGTAGGGTTCAGTTTGGGTTTAGGGTTTAGGGTTTAGGCTTCGACATTTGGGGGCTTAGGGCTGGAAAGTGGGGTAACGTCGGATGTCTTAAAATGTAAGGATTACTGACTACGTACTGAGATTCTCTAGGACCAGGTCTCCGACTGCAAAAGCCAGCTTAGTTCTTAGCTTGCTATCACCCTCTCCCTAAGGCGGCTACTTCTCAAAACTCCATTGCAGGGTACCTGCCTGCAAGGCCTACGCTGCCAAAATAGACCCTACTGCAGCCTGAAGCCTACCAAACCTTACAAGCGCGAAAGCGTCAGACTTTAGAGCGTTTAGATTGGGTCTGGGGTCTAGGTTTAGGGTTTAGGGGTTAGAGTTGAGGGTTTACGATGATTTAAGGTGTCTGGGCTTCAAGCCCTCATTGCAGAACCCAGGTGCTGTTCCCTCCTTTTCACAAGGGCATTGAAGTCCGCTGTGACAGCCTCAAGGGAGCCCAAGACGTCTCCCAGCTGCAGAAGATCCTGTTCCTGAGTGCGGTTTTGTGCTATGCTTAGGTGTGCAGGGTTTAAGGCGGTTTAGGGTTTAGGGTTTTAAACAGATTTCAGGTTTTAGGGCCCAGGGGTCCAGGATATAAGGTGCAGTTTAATGCTTCCGGCTTGAAGCTGCCCACTTTATGCTGGACGGCCCCCTCTAATCAGCCGAACTTGAAATAGAAAAGCTGTCCTACATCAAGCCAGAATCTGACTTTTCAGCGTTGTCGAAGACATTGGCAGCCAGTCGCAACATGGCATCACGATCCAGCTTCCGTCCGAGGACATCCGTGAGGAGTGTTGCAACGTCTGCTAGCGAGATACCCTCACCATCCTCGTCCAATTCTCTAAATTTCCTGGCCACTCGCTGCTTCACCCGGCCGTTTCCATCATCTCCACCGCGCAGAATGCCGAAGCTAGCCAGGATCCCCTTGAAGAACTCAAATCGGCTGGCTTTGGGAATGCCATCGGCATGCTCCGAACGATGCCGTGCAACACGCGTGTTAGCTCCCCGGTAGGACGCGGGCGAGGCAGCGCCACCGCCGCTACCTTCGGTGTCGATAAGTTGTGTTCAGGGCGGAGGGTTAACTGGGGGCGCAACATCCCTCTTTGCCAAGACTCTTGACACAAACGGACGCTGCTACGAAATGACAGCTTCAAAACACGCAGATCCTCTTGGCGTAGTGCGGATCTCCCACCAGAGAAGGACAACACATGAATCAAAACCCACACCATGCTGACCTTTCACCGCACATGAAACGACACAAATCTTTCGGCATCGCTCAAACGCTGCCTCGACTTAGTGCAGTCCCCCACCGAGAGCCTGACAACATCTAAACACAGATACTCTCGGAAAACTACAGGTCCTGCAGCCTAGAGACCCTAAGCTCGGGAATTGAAACACCTTTTTTTTGAGCAGGGACTGCAATGCACTAAGCCCTGAATCCCAAAATTGAAACACCTAAACCCCAAATCCTAGGCTTTAAAAATTGAAACACCTAAACCTTCAACCCTAAACTCGAAAACACTCAAACCCGAAAGCCCTCCTCTTGGCAACATACATGGGGCCTTTCGTGGCTTTCGCGAAGCAAAAGGTTCCGGGATCTTCACAGCAGCAAGGTCCCGAGTGGTTGGCTTGTCAGCTAGGTTTCTGCCTTGTTCGTTAATAGGTCAGTTGGTTAGTTAGCTAGCTAGCTGGCTGGCTGGCTGGCTAGTCTAGCTCGTTTGTTTGTGAGTGAGTGAGTAAGCTAGTTTGTCAGCCATTCGGTCAGTCAGTCACGTAGTCAGTCAGGGGCAGGCCAGCCAGCCAGCCTTTCCAGTCAGCCAGTCAAGGTCTGTCTGTCAATCTGCCTGTCAGTCGGGCAGTCGGGTCTGTCGGTCTGTCGGTCTGTCGGTCTATCAGTCTGTCTGTCTGTCTGTCTGTCTGTCTGGTCTGGCACATTCAAGTCCCGACAGTCATGCTACAACTCGGGACAAAGGTAGACAAAGGAAGTAAGGTTCTTACTTCTTGGGGTCCCAAAGGACACAAATTAAACCATGATCTACAATGAGGCTCCTGTTGCAACGGAACAGACACCTCGTCTGTTTAGCAAGTACCACAAGTTGCTCCCCTAAACCCTAAACCCTAAACAACCCCAGTCGGGGCCCAAGTTGCTCACATTGCTGAGAGCCTGATCTGACGCGTCTTCGCTTTCAACGTTCTCGCTGGAGCCGTCGGTGTTGCTGTTGATCTCTGCCATGCCTTTTCGTACATGTCTGTCATGTTGTTTACAGGGATGGGTGCAATACCTTCTTGTGATTTCAGTAATTTTAAAAACCGTTCTAGTGACGTTATATCATCATGCCTTCATAACGATAGTGTGATGCTTGTATAGTAGTCTGTATAGGTAACACCGCACTGACAGCCGGACTCTGTGAGATGTGTAGGGTCAGATCACGACCTTATGTTTAGGGTTTAGGGGTTTATAGGGTTTAGGGTGTTATGATGAGAATGCTAAGGCTACTTATTAAGCATACTTCTATCATAGGGCTCAAACGTAGCAAACGCTTCTTGGAGGATGATGGGATTTAGTATCTAGGGTTGTGCATGAGGTAAGTATATACTTATAAATACTTACAACTCCGATTAACGTACTTGCAACCCTACCTACTAAGTCCCATGATCCTCCAAGATGTGTCGGATGTAAACGCTGTGCAAGCTAAAAAGCATCGAGCCGACAAGCGTCCTCACTAGCACCACAAGGTCGAAACTCTGAAACTCAAAACGCAAACGCCATACAGGACACCTATAGCGGCCCCTTATGAGAACCCAAACGGGAACCGTTCACCAACCCCCAACCCTAAATGCATGCCGAGCATCTCTTCATGTACTTGCGATCATTTGTGATGGTCTGTCCTTGCAGCTGACATCTCGGAAGCTCACACCAAGGTATGGGGAAATTAGAAAAGGGTTCCTTGAAGGGCTTTCCTCGGGGGTGCAGTCCAGTAGAGCAGTAGCCAGCTTTCTTCCTTCGCCCTGTGCCCTCTACAAACCCGAACTTACGCAACACGACTTGCAAGTATCTATAGCTATTCTCAGCAGCTCGAAGCAAAAATCCGCAACCCGCCAAGAATCAGAAACTCATAGGCTTAGGCTTTCGGGTTTCGGAGATCTAAGTCAGAAGAGGGTCTGGGCTTCAGGGTTGGTGCGAGTGCCTTAAGCTTAGTTAGGACTTAGGATTTACATGATACTTAGCCCTTAAAGCTGATTCGACAAGTAAGCTCCCCCGCATGCCGAAGATAAGAAGAATGAGACTAAGTGTAGGGTTCAAGGCTTTGTTATTGGTCAGGATACAGGCTACAGGGTTTCGGGTTTGCTGTTCCTAACAAGAAATGACTTCTACATGAATAGTACCCAGACAAGACTCCATCACTCATCACGACCGTCTCGACAGGTTCATCGGCTTGTGGCTCGCGCCCTTGCAGGGTTTTCACCTTCTTCTTCTCGTCCTCCTGTTTCAGGGATCCGGTTCTCAACGCATGTGCCTGAGGTAGTGGGAGACCAACCTAGGTAAACAAAACTCTCAGAGCAAGCAGAGGCGAACAAACACCACTGACAACTTGAAAGCCTTGAAGGACAGGCGCGAGGGGGCTAGCAGTTGTTTTCGTCAATGGCTCAGCATTCAGGGATTACAGTGAAGGAATGGCGATCTAAGCTATATCAACAGTGGCCCGCCGTTTCAAATGGTCCACGCTTTCATCAGTGGCTTTCGTGCCAGCACTCCAACTTCCACTGTAACCGACATGTTGCGATCTGCAAGTGTACCAACAAATATGAGCTTGGTTTCATCATTCTCAGGCTGGGGGGGGGGGGTGTATTACGGGCCGGAAGGCCGGAAGACTTGAATAGGCTGTTGGGGTCTATCATGGTAGAATTGTACTGGGACTAAAAAAGGGGGTACGATTTCAGACAATTTCGACCCTTGGATTGAAAAGACGTTTACAGAAGGCTTTAGGTAAAGGGGAGGAAGACCTATCCGTCTCCATTCCTTCTGCATGTCTTACCGCGGATTTCGTGTGCTTGCGTGAGCTTAGCTCTCCAAAAGGAAGATCCACAACTTTTGAAAACTTCATTCATAACTTAGGCAACAGCCGTATACTTGAATTTCGGAGTGCAATGCCTCTCCGGGATACCTGAGACTGTGCCGATCCGCGGCCCAACGGACAAACAGGTCTGCAAAAATCCCTAAAACTCCGAATCCTACCTTTTACAGCAGGCCTCGTACACAGCAGCCCGGTCCCCAGCATCCGAATACCTAAACCCTAAACCCTCAGGCCCTAAACGCCACACCACTCCGAAGTTCGTCTCAGGTCCTCTATCTGTGTGCGTTCCTCCGCCTCATTGATAGCATCCTGCTGTAGGCTGGAGAAGTCCAAGATGTACTGCCTCAAAGGACTGCGAGTCAGGAAAGCAGTCTTCTACTCATGAGGAAAAAGCTACAGAGCTCAAGATCCCTTAACGGAATATATCTTACGATTCCCAGCGCATTCCTTTCAATCAGTGATCAACTAAAGCCCTGTACAGCCCAAACTGCCCAAACTGTGCGATGCCACGTACACTGTGGCACCATGGGGTTCTATTATCGTTGCAAAAAGAGCTGGTTGGGATGGCTGCGCAGCAGTCCGCCAAAACGGGATGCGGCTGCCGCCGTTGCGCGGAGCAGATTTTGTGCCCACGTCCTATTGAAGTCTTATTTACACAGGATCCATAGTGTTTGGTGAGTGTAGCCCCCTCAAAACAGTCGGCAGGCTATTGGATCCAAAGGGAGACCCTCCGGTGTAAAGCCTGTGAAATTGAGCAACCCTTGGCTCATCTTGGCTCCGAATTCGCCGAGTGGCAGGATATTGAGCTGGAATCGCAAAGGCCCCATGGAGCCAAACACAGGTTTGTGAGGCAAGATGTGGACGTCTTCCTTGTCATGAGGGGGTCTGGAGTCTACCCTGCTCGACCCAGAACTATAAACCCCCCACCTCGATTCCGGGGTTTCTGAGACGGCCGATTTGACGAAATTTACAAACCTATCGATTTCACGCTGTGTCGCCATGCCTCGCCCAGTGTCCGGCTCGTAAGAGCCCCTAGGTCAAGCCAGAAGCCCACGCTACCCAATTCCCAAAAACTCAATCCCAAGCCCCTGAAGCATGCTCAGTACCCATAGGCCCCTAAGTAGCTCCTTTTTGGTGGTTTATATGTAGAACCCTATATAAGGTAATCCAGAAAAGGAACTACTTAGGGGCCTATGGGTACCGGGGTTCCAACTTTATCTGAAGTGTGACAAAACCCATGATGTCGCAGCTTCCAACTTGCCGCCAGTTACTGAGAGACTGTTTGAAGGACCAGGAGGTGCAGTTTGCTAGTGGAGGGGAACATCCGAGATCGCCCCCAGTCGAAGTACTGTGAAACTGTTCTTGACCCTACCTATAGTCTCCATTGTAGTTCCTTTTTGTTTAACCAACTGTATATTAAGGATCCTAAAAGGTAACCCCAAAAAGGAACTACAATTGAGACAGACTATAGGTAAACCCCAAGCCCTAAACCTTGCTCCGTCCTCTGAAGCGATGACTGGAACGTAGGAAGCCCTGCAGAACCCAACTAAACTGCACAAGATCCCATGAAGCTCCTTTAGCAAAAGCCCCACTGCTGTTCCCATAGCCATAGCACAACGACGAAGACTACTCCTTCCATTGGATTCTTCGCTCTTTGCTTCTATCCGTCCTATCCTCGGATCGCCCTCCTCCCCCCAGATCTTAGAGGCAGAACCCTGTACCCTAAACCCTAAACCCCTAAACCCTAAATCCCTAAACCCTAAACCCCTAAACCCCTAAACCCGAGGCCCTCAAAGAAGAGGATCTCTCCGGCGGTGGTTGCGGGCGCGCATGACCTTCGAAGTGTTGTTACAGGGGCCTTGCCTTACTGGATAGGGTTTAGGGTTTAGGGGTTTAGGGTTTAGGGTTTTGGATAGAATAGGATCTCTCTATTCCTGCATCCTCAACCTGGATAAAACCCTCAGGGACGATAAAGGGATCCCTGCATTGGGCTCGGGCTTGGCTTTGGGTGTTCGATCTTCGACGAAATAATCTGCAAGAGAGGGCTGAAGGCTTGAGTACTCTCAAGGTTTAGGGTTTGGGAGTTTAGGGTTCAGAAGTAGGGCTTACAGATCAAGTACACCATCCCCGGCTCAAGTTTCACGAGCTTAGGATGCAGGGTCATAGGGTAGAGATACGTCAGGCTGCTCTGGGTGCATTAGACTTGAGACTGCGAGAAATGAGGTTCCAAGTCCGCAATAATCCCTGAAGCACCCCGTCACGTGTAGAACACACTACAGACCACACTTTTGGAAACATGAGCTTGCGATCACCCTCACCGAGCCCCCTTTCCCTTGCCGCCTGCTTCTTGTCATCATCCTCATCTTCATCGCTGGAAAGCGCTTGGCTTGTCTGAACATCAGGATCCTCGTGGGGTCACAGGGTCTGCAAAATAGGTCTTCGGCCGCGGGGTTCAAGAATACTAGTGGGATTTCAGGGTGCAGTTCTAGAAGAGGAGGGGCAAGTGTTGGGGTCTAGTAACAGCAGAAGTAAGTTTCGAGATCTCGAGTTTTGGGGCCTTGGTGTTTCATTAGGGGATGTCGCAGTTCAGGGTTCGAGGTTCTTCTGACTTGGGCTCACGGGCAGAGCTTCAGCTTGAGGATCCATGGGTAGTTCTCTAAATTAAGGTCCCGATTTAGGAACCCCAAATAGTGCGGCACCCGACAAAAAAAGGACCCTAACTTAGAGAACTGCCCTGCTTGAGCTTGAGAATCTATGAGGGTGGGAGGCTTGGTCCCTCGTCTCGACTCTGATGCTCGCAAGTTTATGTTTCAGGCTTTAGCTTGTCAGGGAGATGAAGTTCCCCTAAACCCTAAACTTCCTAAACCCCTTTTACACCTGGACTATGCATCTGTCAGGAACCGAGGCGCCGCTGACTGTGCTGTGGACTCGTGCCACACGGCTACCCCAGAAGCTGCAAGTATTCAAGATCGGAATGTAAGATCGGGAATATCAGGCAGAATCACATCACCCTAACGAGCAGAAACCCCTAAACCCTAAACCCTACGGGTCGTGGGGCGCGTGGTGTCTAGGTCTAGGTCTCCGGAATCTCACGATTCTGTACCTCATAGTCCCTGTCGCGCCTGGATGTCGATGATGGCGCATATGTCCTCAGTGATGCAGATCTGGGGTCTCTGTCGCACGCCTACACCACGACAGCGAAATGATTTAACCTCAACCTGAAGGAAAGTCAGAGCCCCTCTAAACCCTTCAGCCCTGAAGCCCCAAAGCCTAAACTCTTACACCCTGAACCGCAAAACACGAAAACATAAACCGCCTACGCCCTAAACCCTTAAACCCGGAACCCCAAACCCCGAAACACGACAACCTAACCCCCCAAATGCTTCAACCCTGAACCCTCCAAAAAGCCTGAAACCCTCTATCGATCCCTTTCTAGGATTCTAGGAACCCCTTTAAAAAGAACCCTAACCCCCAAAAAGCCATTCCAAGCGACCTCTGGAGGTAGGTCTCTCTGCTTTGTGAGGATCCTCCCGACCGCGACCGGCTGGTTGTTCCTTCGTTGCTGAGGGTTTCAGGCTTTATTTAACACGGTGTAGGGTTTTGGGTTGTGGGTGTATAGGGTTTAGGGATGAGCTCATAAGCCCAAAATAGAATCAAATAGAAATACTACTCGGTGTTTTTGTTTTTCTCCACACACAGGGTATTTTGGTGGTTTAGGGATTAGGACTATCGGGAATCAGATTATCCCAAAAACAGACAAACGTGCATACATTCTGCTACTGAGGTTCTGCTGCCCAAAGCGTCCGCCCACGAGCCACTTCTTGCCCTGCTTCCGAGAGACCTGCCAGCTCAGGAGTTTAGGGTTCTAGGGTTTAGAGCTTACTTGGAGGGTCAGGGGACTTTGTGCGTAGTTATTTTATAGATTTTTAAGAATCATAACCCCATTTAGGGCCTCTTTCAGGGTACCTATGACTTATCACCTACTTCTCAAGTCCTCCGACCCTCCATGTAGGGTTCAGGTTTAGGGGAAGGGTTCAGGGCTTTGGGTTTTGGGTGTAGCGGTTCAGGCGTTTTGACACTCGCACTCGGACAAGCCAGGCAAGGTTTGCCGACTCTGTCGGACGACAATTGATCACAGTCTTAGGTTTATGTTGCGGGTTCAGAGTTTGAGCTTGATGGCTCACTCCTACACACTGAGACTTAGCTGCAGAGTAGGGGAGGGTATGTAGACCAAAAGATTAGCACCTAAACCCTGAACAATACACCAATTACCTAATCTAAAGTTTCTACATGCAACAACCATGAGTGCAGGCCGTGGTGAAGGCAAATGGCTTGCGGCAAAATCTTATATATATATATATATCTATATATATATAATTATATATGGAGACAGAGTATGTGTATTATTTGTATATACATATATATACACATGTTTCTGCACGTAGAAATGGTATACATAACAAAGGGGACATTGTGTATGTATGTGTAAACGTACATTTATGTAAATACATACATTACACACACACACATACATACCTATGTGGATAGACAGATAGACAGATAGATAGATAGATAGATAGATAGATAACTGGATATGTAGATGTAGATGTAGATTTAGACAGACAGATCGATAGATATGAGTAGGATGCTGACTTTGGGGTTGAGGCTCCAAGGTTTCGAGTTGATGGACCTCGTGTTTACCATTCAAAGGACCCAAATGCAGTATGGTAAGGCGTGTTCATAAACGACTTGCAGTGCCTGATTTAGAAGTCCTTATGAAGAAGGATCCGGCAGTTGGAGATCTGTAATTAAGTATTAGGTTACGGGCTCTTTCTCTGAGACTCCTGAATCAGGGCGAGCCTTGTTCTGCTTCGACAGCTCCTTGCGGGCTTTGGCAATGTCCCCTTTAACTTCTGCGGTGGCCAGCTCCAGGCCACTGCGGAGCACGCAGATGTCCATTCGCTGGAGCACCTGGTAATGTAGGGGCCTTTATAATTAGAATAGGGTTTTGGGGATATTATACTATAATCATAATAAGGAACCCCCAAAACTCTATTCCAATTCTTTAGGCCCCTACATTAAGGGTTATGGGGTTACCTTGAATCGACCTTGAACTACCAAAAACACCAACTTTTCTGCACTAGGGTCCCCTTGAAGGTCTAGTAAGAATCTACAAGAAAAGGATACGGTCGGTAGTTTAAGGTAGGGTTTAGGATTTTGGGGTTTAGGGTTGGGAGCTGCAGAGACCCAAAGAAGGCTGGAGGATAACATGCTGAGATGATATGCTTTAAGAGTTAGCGGTTACAGTAACGTTTTATCTATGTACGGGGGGCCTGCAGTGCTTGCGACCTTAGGCATCAGGGACGCACCAGAGCCACTTGCTGGAGTCACTTGAAATTTATGTGCTTTATTTCCCATGTCTTGTTTCTGTGATTTTTTTTGTCTACCTCCTCCTTTTCATCATTACCACCAGCACGTGCCAAGTCACAATGGCAGCAGTACGTAATCGCACAAATGCAACTGCTACGGCTGCTCCTCCTACCAGTCCAACCACACAATAAACAACAACCACAACAACACCGACAACCACAACAAAAACAAAATCAAAAACAACACAGCAGCACCAGCAACAACAACAACAACAACAGCAGCAGCAACAACAACAACAGCAAACACAACAGCAACAACAACAGCAACAGCGACAGGAACGGGAACAGGAACAGCAACAGCAAAACCAACAACAGCCACAGCACCACCACCACCACCACCACCACCAGCACCACCACCACCACCACCACCAGCACCACCAGCACCACCACCAGCACGACCACCAGCACCACCACCAGCACCACCACCAGCACCACCACCAGCACCACCACCAGCACCACCACCACCACCATCATCACCACCACCACCACCACAACAACAACCACCACCACAACCACAACCACAGCCACAGCCACAGCCACAGCCAAAGCCACAGCCACAGCCAGAGCCACAGCCACAGCCACAGCAGCAGCGGCAGCAGCAGCAGCAGTAGTAGCAGCAGCACAGAACAGCAACAGCAACAGCAACAGCAACAGCAACAGCAACAACAACAACGACAACGACAACAGGGCAGCGGCAGGAGCAGGGGCAGGAGCAGGGGCAGCAACACCAACGCCGCGTTGGTGCCTTCTGGCCGAAGCGCCATCAAGTAGCCACCGTCCAACAATTCCACCAGGCGTCCTCCATCGCCACCGTGCTCCTTCACACAGTTTACGTCAGTTCGGCGCTCCACAGAACAACAGAGCGTTTCTGCTGCCACCTCCAGCTGGATGCAGATCGATGCGCCACCGATATCTTGCACTGCCGGAGTTGTGTCTGCAAAGACCTTCCCCCGCAAGAGCATGCCTCGGACCTAGCGGAGCATGGTAAAGCAAATGATGTTTATGAATGCTGCCACTGAATAAAGATGGCAAGGTGCCGCATGTCGCTCCGCCAGCCGCTGTGCAGAATGCCTTGGGCAACTGCCACGAGAGCCGGTATATGGACAACCCGACTTACGCTGTGCTGGGACATTGCCCTCCGGCAAGATCGCACCCGCGAAGAAGCTGAGCAGGATGCGCAGCAGCCAGCGGAAGCGTCGGACAGAAATCACCTTCAAGGCCGAAGCGTCCGAATGTATGTGTGTGTGTGTGCGGTGGCTGAGTGAAGTGTGCTTAGCTGAACAACTTGTTGACTTGAACGTGCCCGAGCAGTACATTCAGAAGTGGTTGTTGGCCTTTTGTCGTCGGAGTCACGCGACAGCGGTTCCAAGCTGCTGCACCCAGGGCAGCGACTCCCGTCCTTTCAGGAAAGCACGAGTGCCGACATAACCGAAATTGTCCAAACCTGCCTGGACACAGGTGACATAGCTGGTGGCTAGTTGGCTGCAAGCAGGAGCGGCAGGAGCACCGGCCATGCTCGCTGGTTTGCAATGGGAACTACTCACTTTTCTCACGCCTTAAGATCAAGTCGAATCAAGTCTTCTGGCAAAACAACAGAAGCACAATCGATGGACAACTCGTCTGCATCTTTTCTTGAAACATGTTGCCAGCGCAACTGTTGGTTTACAAGTTTACAGGCTGCAGCACTTGCTACCAGAATGAACGACTCCGGTGTCAGCCAAGGCTGGGGTCGTAAATGTGAGTATGTGCGGTACAACACGCCCAGCCCAGCAATGCCCAGCAACCCCCGCGCTTGTTCATCCGAGCTTTACAGGGCAATATTGGCAATCTTTGTGCCTTATGATCGACTGCACGAAGCAGCTAAAGCTCATCGCTCTTCACGCTCTCTGCCAACATGACCTTGTGCGGCCATGGCTAAGGAAACATTAGGCATCTGTAAGTGATTCACAATGCTCCAAGGAAGCCTCGCCTGCTGCAGCGCCGTTTGGCGCTGATGTTCCGAAATAGCTGTGGGATCCACGCCGGCTAACACGCGCAAACCTAGGCCAAAGCAAAATGCAGGTCCGCGAAAGGCACCAAGATAATTCAGGCAAGTCTCCGCTCAACCGGTCAGATGGAACCGCGGCCACCAAATCATACCGGAGAAATCGTGCCGTGTTTTTGATGCAAAAGGGGCCTCGGAAATCATGTGACACATCGTGTCAAAAGAGAGAGTGTTTGTGTGTGTGTGTGTGTTTGTTTGTTTGTTGGGGGGCCTGCGTATGCGCATGTACATGCGCGGGTGCACACACATGCAGATACATATCATCGTGCCGCGTCGCCGCATCATTTCCCCCCCACCCCATGATGTGAGCGCGGAGTCCTGCCTGACAGCGACAGCTTTTGGGGGATCTTGGCATCAGGGCGACATCTCAATGGGTCACTTGGGGTTACCCATAACCGTTGCTCTTTCGGGATCTTGATGTTGTTGCGACCTCTCAGTACGTAGTGCAGCTCCAGGGATGGGTGGTCTACACAAATGCTTCGACTCGCGTAACTGTTGAACATGCCGAGCGGGGCAATCTGAAGGAAGACACCCGATCCCACCGACCCCACAACCCATCTACAATGGGGGGGAGGAGACGGTAGCGCAGCATGCGAGGGGGAGAAGCGCCCACACCCACACACAGGCAAGTTATCAACCCAAAGGCTTGGCAACGCTGTCGCTGTGCCTAATAATATACTCAAACAGATAGATGGATGGGAATATAATAAACACCGTACATATATGCACGGCTTGGGCAGTAACACGGATAGATCCGAATAAACATTGCAGAAAAGCCCATCCGACTGCAAATGCTGAGAGCCACACGCTGAACCAAGTTCCAATCATAAACTATCACAGTGCCGGCGGCCAAGAATCCTCAGCTCTCTCAGAATGCGAAATTCCATTCAGTGGACGGCAGCAGCAAGCCAAACTGACAAGGGGTCCAGCTTCTTTGCGACGGAGCCGCGGGCAGCATATCCATCTCTAGTGCGGAGAGAAGGATGCGCATCTGAGTTTCTGGAGCCCCCGCCTGTCTGTTGTGCGGTGGACAGGTAAACAGAACCAATAAGACAATAAGAGCGGAGCTGCAGAAACTGTTGCGCTCGTCTGCCACGAATCTGTCGTTCTTCACTTCCGGGATAAAACCTATCACTGGGGATGTCCTTGGCTCAAATGTTCCCAAACGGAAAGGTGGAACTCTGAAAGGAGACAAGTAATGGAGCTAACTGCCTGGAAGGTACTGCGCCAGCACCAAATGCATCTCAGATTCACTGCTTGCAAAGCCACCAGCACCTTCGCGCAGGCAGCAGTTAACGCAATTCCAGTGCGTGCACGACGCTATCCACTCAAGGACGCAAAATCACGCGAGCACTGTGTAGCGGTTCGGCGTGATGATGTTGGGACCACTCCACAGTAACTCCTGTGCGGATTATGTGTCATATGCTTCCTGCTACCACACCCTGAAACGGCACGGTGCTATCCCGAGACATGCTGCGGCGTCCGTTTCGTTCCACTCGACAGCGCAAGAAAGGCATTGGATGGACAAGGAAATCAGGTCACAGCCTCATCGAAGCTTGAAGGGAACAAGTTTGCATTCTGCACAACTCTTTGGGGCTAAGTTCTCAGCATGTACTCGGAGCAACAGCCGCCTGAAGCGAAGGGAATTTCTCATGCTGCGGCTGAAAATCCGATGCTCGCACCAGGTGCAGCAGGCCTTCAGGAGGTCCCAAAGCAGGGCTTGTGGGGCAGTGAACGGTAAGGACCTGTTGGTGTAACAAGGTTGTTAGCTCTACAACAAGTCACAGCCAATGTATGTCCAAGATGCTTCTCAAACGGCCCATGCGGTGGCGCTAGAGTGTCCTCGAATGAACAACTATATTTCAATGATCTTTCAGAGCTCTCCGCGCGAAAAATGAATACTCTATCCACCTGGAGAGGCCTAGCTATCTGCAATGAGCTTCTCCGCACATGGCTAGCCTGACTATGCGGCTTCGGACATCTCATCTGAAATTCTTCGCGTAATGCATTCATGCGGCTTGGCACGGCAGGTCTTGGGCAGCCTTCAGCAGTCTGGACACCTCGCAGCAGCCGGAAGGTGGCACCCAAAAGTTTCTGCGAGTCGTCACTGGGCCGGCGGCATAGCCCTGGTCGAACCAGTCGGGCTGCACATGGATGTAACCTTAAAAGATAAGATTGAAAATGATTGAAAGCATATGAGTATATAAGAGTTGACATATATTCATGATCTGTGGAGACAGAACAAAAACAGCTGTACTTTTGAGAAACAAGGCTCCGCAACTGCGGAGTTCACTCACCAACTGGGCGGTGGATGACTGCGCTGATCTCACACCGGCACAGTTTCGCCTGGCCTGCAAAGGTTCAGTGTTGAAACTGAGCATCATCTGCACAGTTTTCCGCTGAACGAATCTGGACTAAGCCTCTCGGACATCAGATACTCTTGCACGTGTAGACGTCGGGTACTCTTCCATCATGTGAAGAAGCGGCAATGCTTGCTCCCTCCAGGGTTGCGCTGATCAGTCCGAAAGACGTACACCCAGAAGCAAAGATGGAGCAGAAGGCCTCTCCAGCTCCAGGCCACCTTGCAAAACTCCACCAGCAAATGCTTTGCAGAGTAGCTTGCAAGCCGACCTATCATGCATGCGGCACCAGTTGCTCATTCTTACGAGTACCGTTCGTCTGTTGGTCGCCATCCTTGTGCCTCGCTGGGACTGTGGAGCATGCATCTGTTTGAGATTCTCCTCACAAACTTGTTGTCCTTCCTTACCTTGTCATACCCCATCATACCCCTTGACATTGACTGATTGCGGAAAAGTGCGGAATCGTTTGCTCTTGTCCCGGCTGTCGCGTTTTGAATTTTGGCGGACTCTGAAGGACTTCAGCCACCGATTCTCGTTGCATCAGCTTGCATGGCTTTGCCATCCTTCAGGCATCCTTGGAACTTTACCTTCGCAAGCCCCACATCTTTCACTTGATTCTGATATAGCCGGTTGCTGTTGTGATGGCACCGAAGCACTTGACACTGCGCCCTCAACAAGGGATGAAGGCATCACGGAAGTTTGGGATGTGAATGGATGTCACACTTACGCCGACACATGGAATGTGCGCGAACAAATTGCAAACTCGGACTGCAATGACTGCACAGATCCACGGCATTCGAAGGAATGTCTTCAAGGCCAGGCAGCTTAAGCGACCGTCCTTGTCGGCATCGGCGAGTTCAAAGCCTGGTAGATCAGAGACATGCAGCAGCATACCGGGCACGCCACCGACCAATTGCTGAATTTTTGCCAGGATCACCTGGCCTCGTCTCAATGAGTCCACCCAGCCATCAAGAGACAACTGCTCCACGAGCAACTCTCGAATGGCCTTGTCACTTCGTGAAGTGTCCATAAGTGTCCAAGACTTGCTTTAAGCTATGCTGTGCGACAATGGTTACCGCACAAGCAGCACTGCATTCCTTGACATGTCTGTCCGGGTACTGGTTTCTGACATCTTGACTGGCGTTAACAAGTGGCGCTGCGTGCTCTCGAGAAGGGTGTGGTTTGGCTCTAGCGTGGCTATCATCCCTGCAGGTAGAATGCCAAGGCGTTGTGCCAGGGCCGCGGCAAGGGCACTGTCATTGTCAGCATCTAGCCTGGCAGAAACGCTAGGCAGGTCGGTGGGACAGCCCGTCAGAAGTATCCGATGTACACAGCTCTGTGGGGCCCCACTTGGAGAACTGCAAAGGAGCAGCGTCGGTTTGTTTGCTAGCCTGCAGCTATCTGCAGCTAGCTGTGTGTCCCTCGTCACGATCATGACGCCTCGACGTCAAACTCCTGAAGATTCAGCTTCCCATCTTTGTCACCGTCCCTGGCAGCCACAGCCTGAGTGAGACATCACTTCCACACGGGGATGGCCTCAAGCGCTTCTGCTGCCAGGTCTCCGCTCGGACCAAGGCCTCCAGTGCAGCCTTTGGCACGGCAGGCACGGCACTGTTTTAACTCAAGCTTTGCCTAAGCTCGCGACGGAAGATGACTTGAAGACATCCACTGGATCACCTTAGTCGCACGGTGTGCAGAAGGCATAAGGCTGTCCCAGACAAGCCGGGCGTGCCACCACTTGCCTGTGAGGCAACAAGCGCCGCTCGGTGAGTTTGCTGCTTCATCTTGAAAGATAACACCACGGTGGACTGCCAAGGCACATCCATATGCTCCAAGAAATGGTCCTGACGATTCTCTTCTCGACAATGTCTCAGCAGCTTAAGTAAAAAGCTGCACGAGACAACTCTGTTGAATAGATTCCAAGACCCATCCCTGCCTGGAGTCCAAAATTTCTCAGCTGGCGGAAGGAGCCTGTTGCACCCATGTCGAGCACGCCAAGTGATGCCAAAGCCCAGGTCACCAAAGCAGTCAGGCCTGCGATTGACACACTTCGCATGGCCCGGCCGGGCAAGAGCCATGGGCCATGGGAACTGTGACTTCAGCCCAGATGCTTTCTGAGTGTGCAGAGGCCGAATGCGCCTGCAGATCCTCAGAGCTCAGACAGCACACACGCACACACAGCCATGACCATAACCATTCCTTCACCTAGCTAGTAACCAGTACTTACAATTCACAGCAGCATTTGGCAAAGTGGCATCCCAGGAGATGCGGCAATCCGCAGCCTCACAGCATGACAAGTGACAGAACAAGTAACAGTAAGCTGATTCAGCAATCGCGGGAGGGTCGCCGAAGCCATGCTAGGTGAGACGGCCGGCAACCACTGCAACGCAAGTCTTTGTCTCCGAAGATCCTGGCCCAAGTCTGCGGTTGGGCACTGCAGTAACTCGTCCATACTTTCCTCCACAGCAAACGGAGACCAAGCAAGAGCTGAAGACTGCTCCCGGAAGTCTGAAGCCTCAAACAGAGCAAGTAAAATAAAAACACAATCTGCACTCCTCGAGCTTCTTAGCCGGTAGCTAACTTCTGTGAGTCGCTGGTTGCCTTCCAACCTGTGAAGCGCAAGCCGCCACTACTGCTCGTACTGTGCCTGCAGGGTAGAGGAGCCTAGCTTCATTGACCCGGTGAGCTTACGCTTATGCTGGCCTTCTTTCGAGTTCAGGGATGCAACTTCCAGCAAACCGCGCACGTTTGCTGAGACCTCACAGTCGATTCAAGGACATGATGTGGTCGCAACAGGCAGAGTTCGTCTCCGGTCTAGGGCGTCCGCATTCGCGAAATAGGAGTGGAATGCCTGCCGATCTGCTGGTACCATTATTTCAGGTGTGAACTCCTGTCGTACTTCGGCTCTGCTTACGCAGTTGTTTTGTGTCGTGTCTGCGGCACAAGGAGCCTGAGCTGCCTGCCGTCGCATTCGACATCTCTGCTTTGGGCCGAGTGCACGAAGGACATCGGGCACAGTTGCCGCCGCCTGACATGTTCGCATCTCCGCTTGTGTTTACAAGTCTGGACTTGGCTTATGACGGCAGCCTCAGTTTATGTGCTCTCATGTGCTCTCCATAGCTCAGGTTCCTCCAAGGCACCGATTCAGGCAGAATTACAGCCATCCTCAGCTGGCTTTAATCGGCATTCATCGGGGACGGTCTCCGATGAACGACTGAGAACCCAGCTCTGACCAGTTCAAGATCTCCGAGAATGGTAGCAGCTTGTCATCCGCAAGGATCACTGGGATGGCGCAGAATGACATGATCCTCCACGAGTGTCAGTTCATTTTGAAGGGCACTGGCCCCATCTGAGCCAAGAACTCGTAGAGTCGCAATGAACATGGACTATGGCCAGCAGGCGCAAGCGCAAACTCACTCTCCCGCATAAGCGCGGCATACCTGAGAAAACAACAACCATGAGTAAGAGGCTAAACTTAGCAAACACAAACGGTCATGAGAAAGATTTGTTGTAGAGTACTTGATGCTGCTGCTGCTGGTCATCGCCGTTACTGCTGTTGAAGTCGAACCGTTCTTTCGGTTGTCGTTGTCGCCGTCGGAACAAATGTTGTCGCGGTCGCTCGTGGTTGATAGTGTTGTTAAAGCAACAGCTGAGGGGCTCAGATTTGATCGGGTGACTGATGTCCCAGCGAGCATCGGTGGTGTTCAAAGCACTCTTCCTCGGCGTCGACGGCCATGACGTGCCCGATTACTTCTAGCTTCTTCGTCTTGGTCACTCGTCGAAACTTGCTGTGACTGCTACACACCACTCTCCGTCCAAGCACTTGCGACTCTTGTGATTCCCCTGAGTTGCCATCAGGTCTCGATACATCAACCACATTGACCACCTTGTTCCCGGTGAATTTTTGATTTCTGGAATGCATGAACAGAAGGGGCGCAACAAATGCCCTGACCGCCCGACACGGCACCGTAAGTAAGACAAGCACAATTTCATCCCCATCATGAAGTGCACGTAGCTTCTGCCTCACTGGCCGCGTTTGCGCTCCTCCGACTGTTCCGGCTTTCGAGTCGCACACTCGCCCAAGGCAAGCACGGACTCAAGGCAAAAGTGTGAATAGCACAAGCAAAAACGATGAAGCCAAAGTACCTCCGGGGACAAATTCAATTTCTTGATTGGCCCAACGGTGCCCGTCCTTGAAAGGAGACTAGCCGTTTGCGAGGTGAGCAGCTGCATCCTCTCAGCGGCGGTTGCTCGACTGTGACGGGCATCTCAGGCCATGAAATGTCGATACCACTTCCTCGGCTTGATAGTGCGGCGAAAGCTAATTGAGCCCGGGGCTCGTTACGACAAGGCTCTGTACCCATATGGTCTTCCTTTCAACTGGCCCACTCCCGCCAAAGTCACCGAATGGTGCGCATGCACCAGCTCTGACAAGGGATGGTAGCACAACCTCGGATGGAGTGGAGCCGCAAGCAATGCACTTGTGACAAAGACTCTGCGACACTGCACATTTCCATGCATTCCTGCCATGCTCTTGCAAAAGAGAAGCTGGTCGAAAACAATGTGCTGCTTTCCAGCTGTTCCCCAATATGTGGCCCAGCCATTTCTGAGCCCAAACAAGCATCCAGCTCCAAGGCTACAGCGAATTTCCTATTCTTGTTGAGGGCTCAGCCGGACATATGCTTCCAGGCGGGCTTGGCGGCTTTCGCGGCAAGCTCGGGCATCGCCCAACGTGCCCCAGCGAGCCTTCAGGTAAGGCCAGAAGCAATGGCATCCAAACACTCCTGCGACGGACATCGACATACATGGCCTGCGTGACGTAGTTCGCAGCACCGGGAACTGGAGCCGAATACCTCAAGGACTTGCAGAAAAAAGCAAACAATCGCGTGATTGACGAGACGTGGCCGGACGAAAAGCCAACTCTGAAAACAGCTTCGTGGCACTGGCCAAAGATAAGCACAGCTGACCTGAAGCTACGCAACGCGAGCTCAAGAATCGGTGAACAATGAGGGGCAACATCGCAAACTGTGTCCGAATGATTGACGGTTTTGCTCTGCACATCTTCGGACATGTCGCGGGAACCAGACTGAAAATGTCGACCCTGATGGCCCGTGATGAGTGCTGAATTACACTGCTGCCCAAGTGCATCGATGCCGAGGAAGAAAATGGACGCTTCTTCTGGTGATGTGGTGCGCCATGGGTGCAACTGCAGCTCCTCATATAGCTGGCCTGTCTCACAGCCACGATGCGCCCCTACCCTCTTTCCCGCCCCTCCTCCCCGTCCCGCCACAACATCCCCAAAAAGCAACAGCCGCAGCAAGCTCGATGCGGAAAGGTTGCTGTACCAGATGCTCAGAAAGCCGTCCCTTTCAAAATGGGGTGGATAAAGGAAGAAGCGAACCTCAACAGCAGGTGCGAAATGGCAGTAGTCTTGCATGTCGATCCATTTCCCTGTCGTGAAAGGTCATGGACGGCATGGGTCCTTGCTGCAAAGTCGCCGGAGATGCTGCAATCGCAGTTGTAATGCAGATCAGCAGAAAAAAAGCCTCAAACATGATCCGCAGCGAGCACTAAACACCCTTCAGCGACGTGTTGAAGGAGGTTGAAGCAGCCTGAACGCGATTCCACATCTCATCCTTCCCTGACCACGCTGTCAGGGGAGCACTCGACCTCCGCTTGGCGACCAGGGTCAGTCCATGGCCGATGACAGAGCGTGGCCCACGGCCGCAATTATCAGGATGCGAAAGTTTCCATGTTTGAGCTAATGCAAAGCAAACCTTTGTTTTTATTCGGCCCGAATGTGCGTTGTCCAGATAGACAGCCAGCCCGCAAAAGGTGCTGAGAAGGAGTCGGACATTCGTGTGCTGAGATCCTGCAAGCAGCGCGCAGCGTCGCACCTCAGCCTACACTCGCCAAAAAATCGCCACAGCATCCGGGCAAGCTGGGCTCGCTGAGTTATGCTGATTGCTCTTTCTGCGCTAGCTACCGGTAGAAACATCCCTGCTTTCAAAGCAATGGTCACTCATGCAGCTAGTACGATGAAAATGATACCAGCTTCGCCAGAATCAAATGTTGAAACAATGTCATGCCATTCTACAGTGGCCCTCCACCACGACACTCGGAGCAGTGATGCAGTGTCCGGCAATGGAATCCCGTTTAGGATATCCATAGACTCAGAAATGCTGCTGGAATCTACATGCTGCTCTTTGTCTCAACCTTAGCGTGATTGACTCCAGTTTGCTCTTCCATTTCAGTGCCTTTGTCCGAAACGGCTTCTGCCGTGTGCGTTGCAAGCTCTGCGGGAACTGTCTCTTTGCCTCGTTTCTCGTCCTTGTGTTCACGACCCGCTCGCAAATAATGCCCTTCACCAATGTCTGCCTCAAAGCTGTCGAATTGGGATATGAAAAGAACGGCCGTGCAATCCTTAACAAACTCCATGTCGTTGTCAGAACCCATGGTCACGAGTGGCAAGAGCAAAAATACTGTGGTGAAAAGGATATCATTCACGATCCACGACATGAGTAAGCGCATCTTGGGGTAGTGATAGTGTCGACGATATTGTCCGTGACCACTGAAGAAATATGTCATCCAAAATGGCTTTAGCTCGCCTGAGTGGAACCCTTGGCTCATCACGCGCTGGACGGTGGCAACAACGGAGCCTGCTGCATAACGCACCAACTCTTGCTCCGTTGTTTCTTCTTCGGAAAAGGACTTCGAGGCTATCCACCGTAGCAGCAAAACATAGAGCAACATCTGAAGCACAAACACGCTGGCACACTTGAGGAATGTGCCGGCTTCAATGTCAGTGTACACGCTGACGGGCTCTAGTGGTTCATCTGTCACACCGTGCCCGTTGTTTTCCTTCTTCACCCGAGCATAGGTCACTATAGTCATCGCAATCGACCGTACAACGGAATAGAAGAACACTCCGATCATGGCACCAATCGTTGTATATTGGACACAACCATACACCAAGAGGAAGACACAGCTTCCTTCCCAAAGAAGCGCAGTAGTTCGCACAACTTCTTGATAGTATGCTGTGTCCTTGTGCACGCCATCTGACGAGCCGCCGTTGAACCAAAATTCGGAGCATATCAATGCCGGTACAGCCACTGGAGCAACCCCAGCCATCACCAAGCCAATTATGACCTCTGGTTCCTGGACCCACTCCTCGAAAGGAACAGGAAGGAAATCTTCCATTGCCATAGTCGGTACGACAGCAGTAGGCTGCCGACCTAAGGCAGGTAAGTTTTCCTTTAGCGGATTCTGCCGGCCGTGACTTGTAGCAGGTGCTGTAACGTTGTTTGTCCTTGTCTTGTAACACTGCACCTTGCTGTTAAAAACTACCGCGGGGATCAAGCATTGAGCCGAAAGAGCATTGCATCCGAGAACAGTTGATAGGCTGTCTGTCCATCTCGCGCCCAAGAGCAAGCAGCTGCTGTCGGGATTCCATGCGTTTCGCATGTTTCGCCGCTTTCGCCGTCACCCGACATTGTTTGTTGCTTGTTTCTGGGTCGTTCCTGATAGGACCTGTCCCAAGTCCGAAGACCGCTCCCTTGGCCCACAGCGGACGCTGGCTGCCAGGGAGCTCCTTTATAAGGAAGCTATGTTTCGCTGGCAGCCTAGCCACCTGCAGGCCTTGCGGTCGACTCTAGTCTGCTGGGGAAACGTTCTCGCTGGACGAAGTGCCCTCATGGAGCTGCCATCCCTCAACGCTTGGGGAGCTAGACCTAGGGTCCCTTGAAAACCACTGGTGCAGCCAAAGATGTCAAACAAAATAGCATGCGACTGAATGTTAACATGTGTTTGCATCCGAACAGCCTAAAATCCGGAAGAGAAAGTGGAAAGAACAACACATGTTATCCCTTTGTTTCGTTGCATGAGGAATCTGACCGGAAACCCACCTTGTTGTTTCGCGTCGGTCACATGCTTTCGCTTTCTTGTGTTTTTTCTTTTTGCAGGCCGGGGCAGGGGCGCAGCTCCTCGCAATCCCTATCTTCCTCATCGGGCATTTCTTAAGCCTCTTGATGGAACGGCGAGGGCAAATGCAACAGTCAGAGTTCCTGAGGCCATGACATTTCAATCGCATTCTTTCGCTCTAGCGCTTTTGGCCCAGCATTTTTTGCTCTCCGGACACGTGATTGGGATATATGCTTTCAAGGGAAGTGTATTTAGACACGAAAGTAACACCACGGAACACCTAGCTGAATCCCATGGAGAGACGTTGTTGCGAAGCGCCAATCTATGTGGGCATGGCCCTAGCCGCTAGCCGATTCAAGATGAACAACATCCACATAAACTAAGCCTGTACGTTCAGAAGCGTTTGCCCAATTGCACGGCAGCATAACACCGGACCAGGAGATGCGGTACCTCATCGCCTAACGACCAACGTATGCTGACCTGCACGCTTCCAAGGCCACCTGCTCAAGGAGACTTTTGTATTTTGCATGTTTGACGAGCAGCTCTCTGGCTCTCTGCGAGTCTCTGCGCTAGTTATGCCGCGCACCCGCTTCGCACTTTCTGCAGGTGGGCCGTGGATTGACTACACAACGGAGTGTGGAACTCGTCGGGAGGAAACCTAACAAAGCAACGACGATGCTTTGCGAACACACTGCTGCAAGGCGCTATGCAAAGACGAGATCGACCTGGATGTGACAAGTGGGAAGATGTGGGCTCCGAGCACGCAAGACAGCTCGTCCAAGCACAACTCGTGCTTTCGGTGGTGCGAGACAGATCGAGCACCATTTGCGCAATACACTGCATCGACATGAGTCCGGAGGTTTTAAAGCCCAGGTCAACCAGTGTCCAGCTTTGACGATCGGCTGCATGCTTGTCGATGCCCAGTGCCCGTTTCTGATTCTCGTCCTGGGTTGCAACATCTCCATGTGCTTTCGGGACCAGTCGGGGCACTTCGCTTGCCTGGCGGCTACCTCGTTTTCCAGCAGACATCAGCAAACCCGAACCTGGTTTGAACAGTCTCCACACATACTACGTAAGTGCAAGCAGGCAAATGCAAAGGCGCAGCTCATCTTGGGCAAAAGCATGCAGCAACAGAGCTGCTGACGGCTTTTACCGTAAATCGTCTGCCTCCCATGCCTCTGATGGCTCTGTGTTTCTACGATAGACTTCGTCTTCGCGAACATCCTTCTTTGGTGAAACACGGTTGAAGCTGTTCAGACTGCGCGTCCTCGAGAGGCCCCTGCTTACGGCCTTTGGGGCACCGGAAGAAAAATGAAACAGAACAGCAGTGCCAACACCGACGGCATGTAGCGTGAATATTCCAAGCATGCTTTCGAATTTTAGCTGACCAGCTGTGCTTTCGCGAGGATTCACCTCCGTGACACAGTTGTCCACAGGCATCAGGGACTTCTTGATGATCGACCGCAGCGTTCCATCCAACTCCATCTGTAGGAGCCACAAGCCTAGGACATCGCGAACCAACGAGGTGCAAGAGTCTGCGACGTCATTGAGCACCATCCATCCGGCAGCCGTGCTTTGTAAAGACTCTCCTATGGTCTGCATGTAGCAATTTGGGTTCACGCTGTGCGTTTGCCTCAAGAACTCATATTCAAACTTGGCAAGGGTGGCGACATCGCAAAAGCCCTCACGCAGGCGTCTAGCACGTTCAGTGGGACTACCCGGAACGGGAATTAAGTGTTTGTAGTTCGGAAATGTGGCTCGGAACCAGTCGTGGTCAGCAGAATTCGCAGCAACGCAGACCTTCTTATTCTTATTAACAGCGCCGCTGAGAGAGCTGAACGACGGCTGGCTCTTCGCCTGAACAACAAGGAAAGAAGCCAGATTAGCAGTGTAGGCCGCCAAAATCAATACGACACACCAAGTCCATGACCTCGGCCGCGTGGTATTGCAAGGCAAAGCCAAGTCCAAGGAGAGTCCCGTAATGAGTGTCGAAACTACAGGCGGGCATAAACTTACTGGGACAGTGGAGGTTGAATCTTCCAACACGAGAACATGCGATGTCTGGAACATCCAAGCGCGCAGCATTCAAGTTTTGGAGCCGCCAAAGGGCTCTGGACTTACTGGACCTGCATGTGAAGCGACTGGGTCACGGACATTACCAGTATCTTTCCTGCCCAGGTCCTCGGCGAAAAACTAGATGCTCCAGTGATGTGGCCCGAGGACTGGAAGATGGCATCCATGCACTGCATCCAGACTTTACATTTGCACGACCTCTGTGGTCCATCCGGAAAATCTTCAGAATTGCGTCCGACCTCCAAAACCCGGTACATCAGCCCCGTCGCGACCATGAGGCCAAGAAAGCTCAACCAAACGGGTGCACTGAATGGTGTCAGAAATGAGAATATCTCTTCCAAATCAATCCCTTCCTTGGTTTCCTCCATCACTACGGCCCAATACACGGCATCTAATATTCCGTAGGGGCTGTAAGCACCGATGCTCATGCGTTCTGGTGTAATGAACCAGTATGCGTACGTCACCAGATCGAATCGACCGATCGCATCCTGAAGCTGCTCAAGCCAAGTGCTCGAGGACGTCCAGTTGTGGAAATTCAGGCTGTAGGTGAAGCGTCCTCTTCTGGAAAGCTCCTCCGGACAGGCAAAGTTTGAGGGAAAGTGAAAAGGGCAGAAAGGACAACCCCAAGACTTGCCTATCATGAGGCCCCTTATTCATGGTTTGCCCGTCTTAAAGAAAAGCGGAAAGGGCGTCTGACTCGAATTGATTCGAAGGACTCCTCCTGCTTCCTGCTCCATGACTCTCTTTCTGGATGTCGAGCACTGTTTCTCGTTCGTTTAGCCTGGCCGCTTGAAAGTCCCGGATAAGTTTAGCTGCCGGCGACACAGAAGTGCAAACGTTTCCACAAGGGAGATGTGGGAACAAGCGGGTGCAGTCAGCGAGGCCGTTTAGGTTGAATGGTGAAGCCTACGTGAGGATGCGTGAGGTGGCCCGCTGCACCGGACCATCTTCAACTGGAGGAGGAAGCGAAGCAGAGGCTCTCGGTTTTTGTCATTGATTGTTCAAGCACGTCGGGAAGGCTTCTCAAGATGCCCCAGGCCACAGCTGTAAAAACTCATGTAACTTCATGCTCTCACACTGGGACCAGCCATATGAAGTTCTCTGTTAAGTTCTCCGCTCGCTCAGCAGAAAGAATGCAGGCGACAGGTTACTCCGTCCCGCCGGTCCTCGAGCAGCTTCACTTCCAGACCCACATAGGCACCCGTTGTTTCGTCCAGAGCCAGAAACCTTTCATCCCAAATGCCTGTCCCGACTTCTATATGCATGTCCCGTAAGCCGTCTTCTTGGGGCAGAGTGCCATTCCGAATTCGGTCGACATTGTCGCAGAGAAAGGTGCGGGAGCCATGACAGCAGGAGCCAATCAAGACAGCATTCCAAAGGAAAGCTCCACGCCAATGGAGGCAGCGACCAACGAAACTGGAGACCATCCGCCTATTTCATGCGGGGTGCTTGAGCCTTTTGCAACAGTGTGCCTTACACTACCATACCGAAAACCTCGGCCTCAGCAGCCTTCAGCAGGACTTCGAACTGCTTCGAGCCTTCCCTGTTGAACTGTTCTCTGCCCTCCAGGCTCATTTTCTCCACGGATCTGTGGGCACAGGAAGCTGTGACTAGCATGGGCTAGCCAGCGAAATGTTTTGCAAAGGCAAGGCCGGACAACCATCCTATGCTGTACATCTCGGAGCACGGCCTCATTCCAAGTCAGTACCCGGCTACGTCGTAGCCTATGCAAATGAGTGAGGGTGAGGATGAGGGCGAGGAATCTGAGGAGCGACAGTGACGTTGAGGAGAAGCGAGGGGAGGAAGTACGGGTGAGGAGGTAAGAGGATGTGAGTTGTCTTCCCTCTCGCATGTCCGGGACCAATGCCCACAAGCAAGGTCTCTCAAGAGTTGACTGAAGAAAGGTGAAGGAGGGGGCAAGTCGGGTGTAAGGGTCGACTACTGCATGGTGACGATCGAACCTTGCAACTCTGGCTCGAATCTAAAGGATCGCAAATATTGGAACAACTGAGATTCCACACCTGGTGCCACGATCGTTCAGTTGCATGGAAGCACTGAGGTACGAGCTTCTCCGAGTGCAGCAGACGCCCGACTCAAAGCCCGTGCCGTTGTCGGCAAGCCTGTCTGGCACGGAATTGAGACCCCAGTGCATCATCAGAGCATGGCTGCGCCTGGAGTGAAAATGAAATCGCCGCAGAAGGACGCGACCTCGC